TATGCGTGTACTGTGTGTTGTGTATCTATGTATGTATGTATGTTGAACTTCTTTCACAACATACGTAGCCAACCATGCTAATCGGGGGTGCGGGGGAAGGACAACAAACCAAGTACAAAAAGCAGTTCTAAAGAAATTAGTTTTCAATATAGATTTAAAAATGCATAGCTCCAGTGGTTTCCTAATATCGGAAGGAAGCACGTTCCAGACGGCCGCAGAAGCGCATCTGAAAGCACGCGATGCAGTGATCGTCGTTGTTCGATAGCTAGCCAAAAACCACTGTGAGGATGACCGGAGTTTGTGTGATGGTTTATGATCCTTGACTGGATTACCAAGGTATTGTGGTTCATTTGTGGCAAGCACTTTGTGTGTAATGAGTGCAACCTTGTTGTTTGTGTGTTGTGTGTACATCTCATGGTGTGTGTGTGTGTGGTGTACCCTCCAGGCAGGGGCCATGCCTGCCGGCCTGCTCGTGCACACGTGCTCGCCGGTGCAGGGCCTTCACGTAACGCGGGTGCAGCTCCAGCGCACGGTCACAGTCAGACAGCACGGCGTCCCAGTCTCCCTGAGAAACAATCAGAATCGTTATTTAGACTGGAGGAATGTGATGAGCTATAAAGCTCTTTTTCACAACTGTCCAGTCGGGATGGGTCAGAAAGTTACAACAACAAACAATACCAAAAACACGATAGGAGTGCAACGTATAGGAAATAAGCAAATCACAATTTTTATTTATTTTTATTTTACCAGGTAAAGATCATTGAGCTATTAGATTTTTTTTTTCAGAAGCGACCTGGCCACAAATGATAGCTCAACAAAGTATCTCAATCATGTGGACATTTATAGCAGCCAAATCTAAATACAGTGGTACCTCGGAGATCGAACGCCCCAGAACTCGAACAATTCAGTGATCGAAGATCATTTTTTGCCCCGGACATCGAACAAAATTCGGAGGTCGAACAACGGGAAAGACCTGTTTGGGCCGAGACGCGTAGCCAGGGCGACCGAGACAAAGGCGAATGACCCAGTTTACGCGTAGCTCTCGTCCTTTATCACTGTAGGGTTCCTGCCCCCCAATACGACTCCTCTCATCCAGCCCATGGACCAACAGGTAATTTCCAAATTTAAAAAAAAAACTCTACACGAAAGCCCTTTTTCAAAGGTGGCAAAATGGGCTGAATTACACAATTTTGTAGAAAAATATCATCCAGATAAGGCAGTAGCCAGCAGAGCAGGAGATTTTTATAATGATAATGGAGAGTAATTTCAGAAACATCTTAAAACGGAGGCAGAAACAATCCTCTCTTGATCAGTTTTCAGTAAAAAGGCCCTCAAGTGAATCACAGTTAGTGCTCGAAAAAAGGCAAAGAAAAGAAAGAACCCCAGAAGGGCAGTTACCCAACGTGTTTATGGAGGGGGACTCCCCTCCCAAGCAACACTGACACCTCCTCCTCCCCTCCTCACCACCAATTAATGCTATTTCCATTCATTCTTATGGGGAAATTTGATTCGGTGTTCCAACAATTCGGTGTTCGAACACGTTTTTGGAATGAATTAAGTTCGATCTCCGAGGTACCACTGGAATCGAAACATTCCTCAGAAACGCTCCCTCACGAACAGAAACGTCTAATTAAGAAACTGAATTGGCGGTGGTGCACTAACATGAAAGGCATTTATCAGTACTGATCCATTTTAATGTAAATAAATATAAATATTTGGCTCATTCTTTAGGCATGAGAGTAAGTACAAGTGGAAGTGTTGGTGAAGTAGCCTCACCATCTGTTGCAGGGCGGCCGCGCGGTTCTGGTAAAAGGTTGCGAGCTCCTCTTTGGTGGCACCTACACCTAGGGTGATGGCCTGGCTGTAGCATTGAACAGCGTCCGCAAAGCGCCCGGCCTTGAACAGTCGGTTCCCACGATTCTTGGCGGCATGTGCCTTTTCCAGCGGGGTCTGCTGCAAAGATAAATATCCTCTGTATAACCTACGTAAGGCTGTTTGGGACACGTGTTGTTATCGAGTGCCTTTGAAGGCCAGCACAGTGCATTAGGGGAGGGTGTGGCCAACACCAGGCCCAGGCTGTTATTGTATCACCAGTGATGGTGTACGCACCCCACCAGGTACTCATATGTCAGGCCGACTCGACCTCAGCGAGACCTGGTCGTGTTCATATATTTCTCATTGAAGTTAGCCTCGGTCGGGAATTGGATTCGTTGGTTGCTCAACACGGGTCCTTGTCACCCCACTTCAAATTCACTCCCATTCACCTGAAGTCGCTGTGTGGCAATGCCACACAGGCCAACGGCTGAAGAAGCTACATTTCCCCCCAAGAATTTCATAAAACGAGCAATGTGGCGCGCTTAAAGGGCTCGCTTGGTGCATGTGCACCCATAAATGTTACTTTAGGAACAATGAGAACGGTTTGCGCAGAAGCAGTTCACTCTCTAGTGGTGGTGGCCAAAGTGGCACGCAGCACAATTTGCAAAGACTTGTGAAGGTGTCCCGCCATCAACAGAGGTGGTGTGTCTCGGCAGAACCTCACCTGGTTAAAAAAAAAAGCACACTTACAAACACATCGCATAGCAGACATCGGTGGGGAGGCATTTGGTGTTGCAGTAGCAACATGCGTTCAATCAACTTTCTCCATGGGATTAAGTGAACTCGCTCGCTCGTGGAGCCAGAAACCCTGATGTCTGCTACCCAGCGGTCATGCGGCTCCATCAAACATGTCACGTTTGAGTGCGGCCAATGCGAGAGATTGAATATTGGCGGCGTGAGGGCCAGCTGTGGCAAGAGGAAATGGCTGTGGGGGTTGTGCTCATGGCGAATAACAGTGGTGTAGGGGTGAGCGTTTGAGGCCGACCTTGTGGTAGAATTAAAATAAATTACCGCTGTGGCAGCAATGCACAAGCACGATATGAAACGCAAACAACGTCTTAATTAGCACTGCTTTATAATATCAAGTATCAAACAGGCCTAACGCCCACCGCGATACTGTATTCTCATTCCGAAGGTCGGAGTACCCAGACGATGTTAATCTTCCAGCTAACGCGCTTACACTCCCGCCTAATGCATACATCTCGCGCCTAATTAATTTATCTTGAGCTCAGTGAATCTCGAGGCTAATGCCGGACAATCGCTCGAACACCCGCGTGACACGTCGTCTGTGTTTGACCTTACAGGCCATTATTCCTGAGTCCCAAGGCTCGGCGCACCGTCTGTCACCCTGCATCGCATCTCACGCCTGGCACACTCCACCGGGTTTCACGCCTGTCACCCTGCACCAGGTCTCACGCCTGTCACCCTGCACCAGGTCTCACGCCTGACACCCTGCACCAGGTCCCACGCCTGTCACCCTGCACCAGGTCTCACGCCTGTCACCCTGCAGCCCGTCTCACGCCTGACACCCTGCACCAGGTCTCACGCCTGACACCCTGCACCAGGTCTCACCGCCTGACACCCTGCACCAGGTCTCACGCCTGACACCCTGCACCAGGTCTCACCCTGCACCAGGTCTCACGCCTGACACCATGCACCAGGTCTCACACCTGACACCCTGCACCAGGTCTCACCGCCTGACACCATGCACCAGGTCTCACCGCCTGTCACTCTGCAGCCCGTCGTCTCACGCCTCGTCTCAACATCCCGACACCACGCACCACCGTCTCCTCCCCCCCCCACCCCCGTCTCCCTCCTCACCTCATCGCTGCCCTTGCCCGCCTCGCTCTCGCTCTCCTTGGCCTCGCCGCCCTTGCCGCTGGGCAGCAAAGGCGGCCCGGGCGGGCTGGCGCTGCCCTCGGGCTCGCGCCTCTTGCCGAGCGCGCGTCGCCGCCACACGAGGTACGCGGCCGCCCCGACCACGAGCAGCGGCGCGCCGACCGCCAGCGCCGCGCGCCAGCTCCAGGCGGATCCGGGGCCCGAGGCGGACAGCGGGACGGGGTTCGGGGGACGAGGCGCGGGCACCATGGACAGCGCGGGGCCCGCGGGGACCGCCACATCCAGCACGGGCCTGGAGGCCGCCATGCTGAGAGCGAGGGGGGGGGCGGGGACCGGGGCCGCGATGCGTGATGGGAGCGCGGGGGGTGGGGGTAGAGGAGGGAGGGGGGGGCGGGGAGGGAGGGAGGGGGGCGTTGTCATAGCGACCACGTTTCAGGGAGGGCTCGGCAAGTGATTTTGATTGTCCGTAACAATCTCGATTTGAAGTTTTCGTGACTGCAGGGATCCATACTCTTTGACCCTTTCGATAAAGTCACGTGGGTATAAAATAAATATTGAAATAAATCACGACGTTTCGATTGCAACACAAGCAATCATCATCAGGTGGGAAAACCACAGCGAGAAAATGTTTGTTACTCCCACTTCAGCAAAACAAATTTACTTGCTGTGGTTTTCCCACCTGATGATGATTGCTTGTTGCAATCGAAACGTCGTGATTTTATTTTATACCTACGTGACTGTCTATAACAATGTTTTTGTTGGGTTACATCGCGTCAATATATAAGGTGGATGGCCCTTATTCTTTATTGCAAAGCTTATTTACTCGCGCAAAATAAAAAGCGTCAGCGAGTCTCGTGACGGTTTTTTGAGGGTCCTGCCAAGTTCTCACAGTAGGGGGCGATGTTTCGTGTATTCCCATTGAGGTGACATTTCATAATTGGCAAATTTGACCCATGACACCGGCCTACTCTTGTGAATACCATGACCGGATCTTTAACATACTCTGTAAAAGCAGCGTATTGCTACGTGTAATGTTTCATTTGAACGGTGAACCTCTTAACAAGCGGCAAATAGAGACGTGTAATGGAATGGCAGCCATGGGAGGTACAATTGACAAGATATCCTCCGTGAAGATTAAGTTACGAGATTAGCTCACGTGTTGGGAGTGAGATGGCCTGTGGCTTCGTTGGACCGTGGGGAGTGGTAGCGAAGTGGTGATCGCTTCATCCAACAACGGAGAGAACATGGCTGATTGTGTCCTTTAGAACTGACACCCATGAGCATTATTCTCCTCCTCAGAGACATGGATTTATTCAACATTTCAGTTACATTGTGGAACATTTTAGATTAGCTACAAGTGCAAAAAAATATATACGAACCTCTTTCTCACCTTTGCGAAAGGCATATTTTTCAAACCCATTTTTTTCTTAAACATTGTAATTTATCCACATAAATTTTAACTACAGTATTGCCAAAAAATAAACGGAAAGAAATATTTCCAGACATGGCGATGAGATAATCGGTGTTAAAATTACAGCATCTTGCAAGAAACTGCCCGTTATAAAAAAAATATATACATCTTGAAAATGTAATGGCAAAAACAATGGATCAATATCCCATTAAATTAAAAAGCACTCGTACAGAAAGTACACGGATAAACATGTGCACTGCTACAATTTTAATTTGCGATTATAATGAGCGTGTTCAATACTGAACATATCTGTTCTGGCTGGGCTTCCCATGCCAATACCACCAAGTTAAAACTACAATCATTTACCAACGGCTATTATCCATCCACTGTTATAAGGCCTCCCAAGTCATCATACCATTGGTTATTTTGCTTTACATTATTCAAGAGGCCTTGTTAAGGAATACAAATGGCACTCTCCAATTATTCAGTTGAGCAAGTGGAGTGTTTTATGCATACTTAGTAAGCCCTTAGAGCTGGAATGAAACAAACGGAGCATGCGTGTTGAATTCACAGCTCTACCATAGTGATGCATAATGTAAACCACTTGTTCAGGACTGCCAACGCAGATGAGCACCAACTTTGAATTCATTACATTGTTTTTGTGTGCATTACAAAAATGTTTCTTACCACCAGGATTCCAAACCCCATTCAGTAGAATAGGCTGTGACATGCACATTAACGTACGCTATTTGAGCCAAGTATCCACCTAAATGTAATTTGAAAATGTCTTACAATTTATCAGATTTAAATCCTTGCTTTAAAGAGCATGGGGGGGGGGGGGGGAATGTGGACAAGCCCATTGACCAAAACGTCATTAATTTATTTATTTTAGATTTTACAATTAGCTGCATGTTTACAAAAAGTGTCTCGTGAATCGTAAACAGTCCAGTAAACATTATAATGCATTGTTGATTGCGATTATATTGAGAATTCCTTTGATGCAAACACACAGGAGCCCATTGATGTGTCAATACTAACAGAGAAACCTGGTAAACTTGTATTTTTTGGAGACCTTTTATAATGTAAAATAGTTTTGACTTTAATGCACAATTTCAAAGTCGTAGGAATCGCACGTAATTTCAGCTTCGGTTTGGCAAAAGTCGACGTGCCATGGAAATGATACACCATAATCAAACTGTCATGTGCAAACTCAATTCTGTTCACAATAGAAAGCTTAAAAACCTGGGTAAATTAAAACAATGTAAATTTCAACTTGTAAACAATAATGAAGAAAATTAATCCTAGGAATGTTACAAGGATTATGTCATCACATGTCTAGCTAATGCCATGTAGCCATAAGCCAGTATCACTGTCTCATGGCCGTTGAAGAGCAGCATCTCAAGAGCACCCTCTTTGCTATTGAGCAATAACAGCAGCACTAAAATTAAAGCCTATCAGTGTTGCCATGGTGTAATTTATCGCACACTGGAATTGCTACCCAAAGGTCGCTGGTTCTATCTACCGGTGCAGCAGTAAAAAAAAAAAAGATTGCTTTTTTTAAGTTTCCTTGTCCACCCAGCAGTATATAAATGGTAGGTCACAGGAAATAGGGTAACGTGTGGGTACTCCCACCTCTTCAAAGACATTTGGCCATGGAAGCGTTGGCCAAAATGCCATCAAGCGCAGTGTTCTTCATTGCAAGGTACGCGGGCCATTGGCGGACTCTGGTGGCCTGTAGTGCGGCCCCCAACATGACACAAATGTGAAAACACCCCATCATGCCAAGCCAATGGTTTTAAAATGTGTCGCGGCCCTCACACTCATGTCTTATTGGCGAAAGTGGCCCCCCTCCTCTGAAAACTAATGAAGAACACTGATCTAGAGGGCCTATTTACAGCTCCTTCTACTGAACCTCGCTCGAATGCAACATGGGAGATGCACGTGCACCTTCTACAAATGAAAGATCAAAGAATCGCCATCCTGCGACTTTGGCGAATTTCAAACCATCAAACGCGTCATCGACGAATGCGTCATCCATGTACATCCTGGCGGTGTCGCTGCAATCCATGCAGCGTCTACTGCCCTCGTGCATTGGTGGCATTCAACTGCCCGAACTGGAAACCATTTCACCAGCTGTGTCGTGAACTAGGATTTCATTTCTGCACATTTCTATTCAGGGCGAGTGAATGCTGCAACTAAGCACAAAACTGGATTAGTATGCACACACGTTTTCTAAGGCTAATTGTTGAACTTAACTTCCTCAATATAGCATGATTAAATGCTATCAATATTGTAGCATTTGGTGTCTTCAGTTTAGATGAACATCGCTTATACTTATTTTTATCGCTTATTCTCTCTCAATGCCACAATCTGTAAACAACATTTTGGTGAAGATGAAATTAAAGATGTAAAAATATCACTTAAATCACTAATCTACGTAAAAACATTTTCCTGGGGGATTGGAGATTGAAAACATGACTGCATAAAGTATCTACACCTGTCTCACTACAGTGGACATACCTTTTCATATATTTAATTAAAATCTGTTAATGTTTGTTTCAACCTCCAGCTGATTTGATTACTTTCTTCTTCTCATATAATTGGCAGGGACACTGCACATCATGTCAGTCCCTCTTCCAATCGCAATGCATCCACGTGGGAAATGTAGCCTGTATGGTGGAGACCATATAAGCCCAGAAGCCAAACCAAAACACATGTAAAGCCATGTGCAGAAACAAACCTACTGCACATATCTACCTACTCTACTGAGAGATTAGCACTTAAAGTAGGTTTTTAAATGTTCATTCATTGAAAAGAATGCGACTACCATGCTGCCATGTGCTCTTGAGCAACGGCAAGTACAATGGTCTCCAGGTTATAAGAGGCGTTTCACCAAGACTTTTAAAGCAAAAGTCGTCTGACGTGATAGGCGCACGTGAGACCAGATTTGTACGACTTAAAATTTGGGGTGCGTCCTACATTTTGCGGAGATTCTTTAACTCAGAATAAGGTACTTATTTTGTGAGGAGATAATGTACGCATGTTGAACTTATTTCGCACTGTACGTAACCAACCCGGCTGCTAATTGGAGGCACGGGGGAAGGACACAAACTAAACAATCCTAAACAAGAAGCTACAGTCGATTTCTCCCTGAAGATCCATGTTCAGCCTATGACAACGAGTCCTCAGCCTCCGGGAATAATCTGGCTTGAACAGAGGCTGTCAAGTCGATGTTCCGGATAAAATGTGTTTTCTGTTCGCACTTAGGATGAACATAGGAACATAGGGTGATCGTTGCTAAGCACGATGTTGACGACGGAAGCTGTAAATTGCCATATTTGAATAATTTTTGTATGGGTTTGCAAAATGTGCGGCTGATGTCCCAACCTGGCAAAGCACACAAGCAAAGCTTTTCGCGGTAGTGTTGTTGATATGATATTAATGATGGTGTTTTTGCACTATGCTCGTGGCTATATTGATGGCGCTTGCGATGGAAATTATACTGATGGTATTATTGTTAATGGGTCTGTGTTGCCGAGTCACGTGTTAGTGTCGACAGAGCTGATGTTTACAGTGTTGACTGGGTTTGTGGTTATTGTGATGGTGTGGTTGGCGGTGCTGAAGACGTGGACTGTGGCGACTTAGGAGGAGACGTGGGCTTGTAATCCAAGTCACAGATGTGCGTTAACTCCTCGGCCGTAAGAGCCAGGTCAGCGACAGCCGCCCGGAACTCCTCCAGAGGACACAGGGTGGCGCTGCACTGCGGCATGCGGCGCTCCTGCAGCAACACCACGCAACAGCAAACCACACCATGTCGCACAACACACGTCACACCTTCACCGCGCACCCCAGTGGCGACGACAGGAATTTCGATCGCGTAGCGCTAGCCGACCGATTGTCGCCAACGGTGATGAGCGTGAGTGGATGAAAATTGTGCGAGCATGTCAGCAGGTAGCACCAGGGTAGTGCTGAATCACTTTCACTAGATTAAACTATTAAAAATATTTTTTTTATTTTACCAGGTCCCACTGAGCTATATAGCTCTTTTTCAGAAGCAACCTGGCCACAAATGATAGCGCAATAAAGTGGCTTATCGCGTGGAATTGTATGGCAGCCAAATACTCTCAAGGCCTGTTTCTAAATGTGGAGGGAAAACCCAGAGGACCTGGAAAAAAAGCCACAACCACGGGGAGAACATGCAAACTCCAAATATTCAGGGGTCATGTTCGGGATCGAACCCACGACCTCCTGTATAGCAGGTTAGGTAGTTAACATCTCGCCACCGTGGCACCCAAATGCCAAGGCGTTGCCACCTAGTGTCACCCGTGGCGGCGATGCCTCTGCCGGCCTGCCCGGCCACTCACCAGCCGTGCTCACCTTGCCGTTGTACACGAGGCGGACAAACGCGCGGCGGGAGACCGGCTCCACGTGCAGCTCAATGGCAACGTGTGACGCGAACGGTGGCCACCGACCGTCGAACACACGCAAGCCGACCAGCAGCGGCAGCAGCGTGGTATCGTGTGCCGAAAACAACACCAGGTTCTCCTGCCTGCGTAGCACCGCACCAAACAGAAACGACACACAGCTGTGGCGACCGGACATATCCAAAGGTTGTAGTCATCAAAGTTTATATCATGCAGTTCAAGAGCCCCCAACGACATTCCGCCCCATGGCAGGACCAAAGCCTCCCACCTCCTCACTTGCCTATACACTGCTGGATGAAAGCCTCCCTATGCTGGCAGCAGCCCACATGCTTCTGTGATGTTACAATCCATCTCGCTTCTGCATATGAACTGATCTCATTGCTCCATCCGTGCGGTGGTGATCTTGGACACAACTGTTGTTCATTGGTCATCATTTATTCGAGCTGTGTCCTGCACAAAGGCTAATTTACTAAAAGTCAATACGCCGTTCATAATTTGCATGTCTCCGAACGTGTTCCTCTTTATACATCTCATTGTCACACCAAGCACACATTCCTGCATGACTCTACGACGCCTAACATTATTCTTAAGTCTCAACATCAAGAAACCAAAATGATCAGTTATATATATTGCCAATATTTTTAAAAAGCAGTATAACACTACATGACATTCCCGATGTTAAACCAGTGTTAACTTAATATACACAGTGTATCCCATTCAACAGACAGCTCCTGGACCAAATGGAATAATTATGGTTATATAAATACACAGAACCAACAGTTGGAACACATTTAGCGGATCTATATACTAAGTATTTACATGGAAATTTATTTTCAAACATTGCTGTTAAGAAATATATGGCTCTGTTTTTTGCTTTCGTATAAAGTATATTGTTTGTGCTCTGTATACACCCAATACATTGCCTTTTATATGTTTTATTTCTTTTATTGACGAGTCGTGTTGTTGATGAATGTGCCGAGTTAGTTTGGAGCAATATGCCGTGGCGGGGTGAGAGTTGATGCTCACATTTTTCCACACATATACTTGTCTATGTTGGAGAGGAGTGTGTCAAGGAGACGTCCAATGCAGAGCTGTAAGCCATCTCTGCACACACCATGACACGGAATATTTGAGCCAATCAAAAGGCACAAAACATCACCACAGATTGGCAAACGAAATCAATGCCGTTGTGTAATTTCATCAAGAAATAACATTTTAGAAGAGTGCAAAGATCATCATAGTTACATACACCCAAGTGAAAAAATAAATATTTGTATAGAAAATGCAAAATAAGTTAAACTATTATTTATAGAGTTGGGATATCAAATCATTGAAGCAATTAGTTACTTTGCTAATTGGTAATTGATTCTTCGGATGATATGAAAAGAGTTGGGGGAAAAAAATTGTCACATCTGTTCTCATGCTGGCGGGGCTTGGCGATGTCATCGGCAAGATCAGCCACGTAATGCTGAGCGTGGTTTGAGGGGGGTTTTCCTGCTTTGCCAGGGAGGATGTTGGGGAAACTGCCATTTGAAAAGGAGCCCCAGCAATTACAAAGAGGTCAATTACAATGTTTTCCCGATTAATCGATTTAATGGACTCATCGCCCCTACTGGCAGACTAATTCCCCAGGTCACTCTTGCAAATTAGACTCTATCCTGATCTCCGAAGTTCTCACCTGGTTAAATAAAATGCATTTGAATTTTAAACTCTGCATCAAGCCCCGGAGTCACCCGGCCAGCTCTGGTGAGTAAAGTACCTGTGAGAGGTCTTCAGGATGTTCAATATGGTGGTCACTGCTCCGGTGTCAATCACATGTCTGTGCCTTAACAGCTCCTTTGGGACCAGCATACCATGGGCCTACAATGCGCCACAGACACACCCACCCCATACAATCACACATCATCCCAACCCTTCGCACACCACCCAATAACTAACCCACTTTACACCACAGCAAGCGTAAAATACAATTTGGATATAAACGGTGACTTTGAGATTTCAGGCAGCCTGCGGGCCCCGCCACACACCTCCCTGGCGACGATGACGTCCCTGATGGCGACGAAGTTGGAAGGAGACTCTGGGGCGGCGTGAGGACTGGGAGCTGGCAGCAGCTCCTCCAGCAACTTCCATTCGGGGCACATATTCCAGCCCTGCCTGCACAGGATCAGACCACGGGGCGCGGGATAATGCAAGAATACATTACACATGCATACTGGCCAAGGGGGCATGGGGTCATTGGGCACAGAGGCCTTAAGAGTAACACTGGTGGTGAGATGTGAAGTACCTCGCCTGGTATACAGCTTTGTGACAGCTTGGATGACTGCATCAATCTCTACTAGGGTGGCTAACTCGGTTGGTTTGCATGAGCGGTAAGAGCATGAAAAGAAACGGTAAAAAGCGGTTACTGGTTTGCCAGCAATATACAAATGTCTTGAGCGATACAAGTAATATTTTTACCCTTTTAAATGAGAAATGAAGGGAGGTGCCGTGGTGTGAGATTAATCCGCTGGACAATCCAGAGGTCACCAGTTCGATTCCCTCTCCCGGCACGGCAGTTGAAACATTTGGGCAAGTTTCTGAACTTCCCGGGCTTTCTGCCCATCCAGCAATATAAATAGGTATACCAAAGTTAGTCAATTGGTAGGTCGTCCGTGGTGGGGTCAAGTACGAGTATATGCCCAACTCTTCCAACACGTCTGGTTAGCGGGAAAGAGGAGTCCAAATATCCTCCAGCGGAGGCTCTTCCACCAGCAGCGGTGCGAGCAAGGGAACAATTGCGAGGCTGCACTTGAACTTTCTAACCGAAAAGCGAGGTCAAATGTACCACACAGTGAATTAGGCCACCGTGTCCATTGTCCCAATCACGTGGGCCAATTGCTGCCTTCACCACTAACGTCGTGATCTATTATTATTTTTCTACGTAACTTTACCAAAAGAACCAAAGAGTATGGATTCCTACAGTCACGAAAGCTTCAAATCAAGATTCCACTGGAGTTGATTCGCAGCTTCCGCCTTTCCGAACCAGCCATTGATTTAGAAAATGGTTACCGGTTATCATTCAACATCCCTAATTTTCGAGTCGAGTGCTTTTCTATAAAGGCTAGGCAAAATGTTAATAGAATATATTAGTCAATATGGCAACACCGCAATCAGTCACCTGTAAAGGTGAGCCCTAATTATTATTAGATAACACCAAGGTGTGTGTTACTGTGTGAATTCCCACGAAAGATATTTGAAAGTCCTATTTATCCCCCAGTAAAAAAAAGTTGCCCATACCATAGAACATTACGCCAACTTCACATTTCTAGGCAGCATGCTACCCCTTCTCAATCTGACACAGTGCAGCACATCACAACAAGTCACAACACCCCCATGGGGAGGGCACGCACCGGTATATGGCCCCGAGGCGCGGACAGCCGTGCATGTTGGGGTAGAGGATTTCCGCCAGAGAGTGCGACACGTGGATCCGAGCCGGTTCTGCGCTCCACACCACGCACCACCGCACGCACTCACCATACCACTCGCCATGCGCACGGCAACTCGCCAGTCAGACAACCATGCACACTGAAAACCACTCGCAACACACATCACACCACTCGCCACATGTTCGCCACTAACCAACAAAATCACTATCCTTGCACACCGCAGACTATTATACTAGTACGTGCAGCGGAGCTAAAAATGCACTCGCCACGTAACCATTCATTAAGAGTATTATTATGGCCGAGAAGCTTCGTGCAGTGCCAGGTCGCTTCCACACGTTACACAGCTGATGAAACAATAGTCACACATGACTGATTCAGAGTGAGAGCTGAGATACCAAGCCAGAACTGGCCATGAGCACACTGCCCGGGTAGAGGAACTCCTCCATCCTCGCCATAACCAACCCCGCTACTCAAAGAGTGGAGGGGTTTGAGCGTTCAACTATACAGGGGACCCAGGTAGGTGGCTTGTTTTGGTGGTATCGATAGGTGAGGTCCCTCCCACCTCTTAGTGGCAAGCTCCACCTTCAGAAGCAGTCTCCAACTTTTTCTCAGCGGTGACAGCAATTACCAGGTCATCAGCATACGTGATATTGATGAACAATATAGTGCCATCTCTTGATCGCACATGGGAACTATTAGTCTCTCATTGTATACATAACAGATGTAAATTCCACTGATAAAGCCATGAAAGGCTTACCACATTGTTGAATCCCGTAGGAGCCAGAGGATAATCCGAACAAACCCAAGATAAACAGGGAATTTCTCTCAGTCATGAAGCTTTACCTCGGCCTGACAACCATCGCAAAGATGCTTAATAATCACGAGCAGAGCATCAGAGCCCAAAAACACCTAATTCGTTTTAGTATGATAAATGAATGGTGAGAATGGGCCTGCCACTTTCATTCAACTAGATGAAGCACTTCTTCCATTACAGACACACATACTCCCTGAGAAGCACCAATATCAATACCCGCCATTCACCACTACGTGACGGTGACGTCACCACAGCGACCATGCCAGGCTAGGTGCACCTTGAGAAGCACACACTCTCTCACACATGGTGCTCACCGAGCTGTGACTGTTGGAAGAGGCCAGCCAGGAGGCACCGTGCAGACTCAATTGTACGAGCCGTATTGGTGGAGCGCACACTACAATGACATGCCAGCAACACACAACAATACCACCACACACCAGAAACACCCACCAAGGTTCAACATTAAAAACAATCACATACACCACCAGACCAACACGCCACGACCAAACTCAACCACCACACGTAAGACCACACACGACACCCCCGTTGCATCACCATGCACCATCACAACAACACACAGCCGTAAAACACACCATACACCAAAGCATACCACCACACCAAGATAAAATCAGTACAAAGCATGATTAACTTCACGAATGTGGTGTTGCTTGATTCGTCATGATGTGTGGTGATGGGTGTGATTTGATGCGAGGTGTGGGTATAATAATATGCTGTATTTAATCAAAACTTCAACGAGTCTCAATATAAACTCTTTCAGTGTTCATAAATGGTTTGATTGGCCAATTTACATTAGTAAGCATGTTTCCAAACTGTCACATCAAGAAAAAAATCCAACAGTCAAAGGTGCGCCCAGATAGAATCAAGATTCCATTCAGTCTACTGCCATTTCCTAGCCACCATTTCGAGCCAAGCGGTTTTATGAGTTTCAAAAAGCCACGTGAACCACCAATCTTTCACTCGAAAGTGGTGTGTGCATTGATGTTGTGTGAGGTTTAATATACCGCAAGGTGTGGGGTGCTGTGCTGCTGGGTTTGCTTTTGTTTGTGTTGTTAGCTGTTGTTAGCGTGTGGACTCCCTGTGATGCGAAACGTGGCTTAGTGTGGACATGCTGCAACGTGCTATACTCACTAAACCTGGCTGGGTGTGTAGGTGTGCGACACCAGAGCACACCCGTTGATGTACGTCTCCCTCAGATGTACGCCGAGCTCATACAACTGCTGCATGCCCACCGAGGACAGCTGTCCTCGCGCACACCCGCCCTGTAAGACAACGCAACAACCTCCCGGCTAAAATCGCCATACAGATATCGCGCACAGAGATATTGCGCCAAGTGGGGGGGGGGGGTACTCAGTAACCCCCACCCCCCCACTTGGCGCAAGAGCTCAGTAATCCCCCCCCCCACTTGGCGCAAGAGTGCCGAAGCGTGGTCACCACATCTTCGCCTCTATATGAGGAACGAAACGGGTGGACTTCTCCACAAATCTGGCTGTCGCCTGATGAAGCTAGTTGTAATTACTGGCGAAACGTCGTACTCGGATTGTAAATGTTGTGGCTTGGCTCTCCAACACACCAGTGTGCTGTACTAGTGATGAATTGGCCACGTTCTGTTTACGTGACAACCCTTGTGTAGGGTAAGGTAAAAGTTGGCTGTGTCGGGTGGTGGCGGGTTTTAACGACACTTTCATATATTTACGTGATTTAACCCAAAAAAACCTCTTATGGATGATATTGGTCACGAAAGCCTACGTTTTAACTCGTACACCCACTAAACTTCATCAAGCAATGCGCAGAAATTACAACACATTTCAGTAAATCAGTGGCTGAGTGATAGCGGGTCAATCATTAATTTGAGCACGGAGCGCGGTGCGGCGGACAGCACCGGCGGCGAACGCACCGGCAGAGTGTTTGCCTGGTACGACTCCTCCAGGGGGGATGGAGGCTGCTTGCCCCCATTGAGGTCCGTCACCTCATACTGGAAGAGCGTGTTCGGTGGGGCCTCCAGCATGGACGGTGGCCAGTCGACCTGCGAAAATAACCGGCGGCAGCGATAACAGGGGAGCACGCGAAACGATTGCTGTATTTCGGAGACACATCAAGGGGTGGCAATCCACGACATAAATTTTGCACCTCAACATCAGCAACATCAACAACCGCCCATTGCACTCTGGGACGCTTTGCCAAAAGACATCAGGGATTGGGCTGTAATTGAGATGTTGTAAAATATTCCCTATTTAAGAATGCTTTCACCTAATTTTACTATTAGACATTTGAATTGATAGGTTTTAATGCATATTGTGTACAGCACTCTGTGATCCAAGGGTGACGAGCGCTACAATGTACGTCTAATGTATTATTACTAAGACGTCGGCCATGGTGCTTGTGCCAGGCTACGTGCACTTTGAGGCCATTTTGAAGGAGCGCACACTGCAGTCAGTAGTTTTACGAATATGGTCCACACTTTGGGCAGGAGAGGAATTGGGGGTGGTGGAAACGGAGTGGAAGTGACCGAAGACATGGAGTCTCGTGGCCCCACGTCGCATGGACACACAGACCCATGCCCACCCCCTGCTTATCCTGGCAGAGACCCGTTTCCCAGTGGTCGTGGATACAGAATCACAATGTATAGTTATACTGGAGAAATCCGATGAGCTATAAAGCTCTTTTTTGCTTTTTACAAATGTCCACTCGGGCCGGGTAAGAACGCTACAATTCGCAAACAAGATAGGAGTGCAACGTGTAGGGTAAGGTAAACAAATCACTTAAAACACACGAATAAAAGTAAATGTTTGTTTTATATTACCAGGTAAAGCCCACTGAGGGATTAACAAAACATCAGGTGACCACGAACAGAACCAGCAGGTGAGAACATTCCTGGTTACATAATTCTGGCATCTAAACGGCTCACATTTGTTGCAGAGCTCACTTCAATGTAAACTGAAAACTGGTTGGCTCGTGATTTAAAAAAGGGTAAGGCCAATTATACACCAGCAGCCACCAACTCTTCGTCCACAAGCACCACCACCAACCACATCCACTCACTTGCTCCTTACCAGTCGCGCGCATCACTCCCCCCCACCCCCACGTGTCGCACTCCACGTTGTGGGCAACAAAGCGGACCCACGTGCCAAGCAAGCAGGACCCCCCCCCCAACCATTCTACATCCCGCACACCCGACACAGAACAACAGCAGCAGCGCCGCCACCACCACCACCAGCAGCAGCAGCAAACCACCACCGCGGCCACACTTCCAAACTACGGGGCCACATCGATCTCCACACGCGTGTTGTGGAGCACTCGCAACAACAAATCACCCAATATAGTGAAGTAGCTTATTCGCCCCCCCCTCCCCCCATGCCAATGGTTAAATACCCCACCACCACCACTACCACCCTTGTCCAACGTTGCCCCTCGCCCCTGACTTTGCCGCCCCAGCGCCTGGGCCCCGGTGCGGTCGCACAGCCACCAAGCCCGACCCGACCCCCCCTCAGCGTCGAGGCAGCAACCGACCCGAGACCCCTCGCTCACCTCGGGCAGGCGGGAGACGCGGCTGAGCGGAGTCCGCGCCCCGTGGCGAAACACGACCTGGACGAGCGAGATGAGGGCGCGCTCCCCACCGCTCTCGCCCGCGGCCTGGCCCGCTGCGGGGACCCCGGGGCCCGGCAGCGGCGCCGCGGGCTCCGCTTCGGCGGGGCGCGACCACAGGCGCCGCGCGGCGTACGCGACCGGAGCCGCTACGCACACACCCTTCAGCAGCAGAGCCATCACGTAGACTCGCCTCGGCTGTTAGTTGCGTGTGTTGCAGCCTATGGAAGGGGTGGATTCGCGCGAGTTCACGTTCGTTTCGCGCGAGTTCACGTTCGTTTCGCACGCTCGCTACTTTAACCCGCACAAGGTTGGCGGCGCCGGTCCGTGCGTGGCGAGTCGGTGACGGCCTCCACGATGTCTGCGGCGGGGGTAGCGGCGGCGCCCGGCGTAACCCCCCGCCCACGACCCCGCCCCCTCCACCCAGGACCCCGCCCTCTCCGTATACGACCACGCCCCGTTTTAACCCACGACCACGCCCCTCAGCCTACGGACCCCGCCGCCTCCACCCACGACCACGCCTCTCCGCCTACGACCCCGCCCCCCTCCACCCATGACCCCGCCCCCTCCGCACGCGACCACGCCCTCTCCACCCACGACCACGCCCCCTCCGCCTACGACCCCGCACACGACCACGCCCCCTCCGCCCGCGACCCCCACCCCCTGGACGCACGTGGCCGTGACGCCACTTCGTCGCAACCACGAGGTGCCGTTAACGGGCGGTGACGTCGTCGCGCATGAGTGCGGACCGTGCATGATGACGCGGTTACGTCCTTCTCACCCGGCCCCAGTGTCGTATGACACAAGACTGGTTGTGCGCGTGTGAAGCCCCACGATAGCCAATGTGGTTATCTTGCTCGTGTTAGAAGGAATATGTCTCGGGTGTCCTGGACGGCTGCTGGCTGGGCGCCTCTGCATCCCACCAATGACTCTGTTGTTAGTGGCTGCGAGCCGTTGCCACCGAAAACTAGCTGGGTAACTGGGTACAACGATTGTTTCCGTGTTATAAATGCACATTTATTTGAAACGGCGAAGACAATGTACAGAAGAACGACACTGTTCATGTAAAATCACTACAACTTTTCCTATATGCGCTATTCGTGTAATTTATTCGCCGGAAGATATATTTTTTGTACTCGAGAATATCTATCTTTTTAAAAAACGCACAATACATTTTATTATTTACAAAAGCAGATTCCTTTTATTGCTCAGAATACAACATTGTGAGATTAGTAGAAATATAACAGCCGTCTCTTTAAATTTCTCTACCAGTATGCTTAGTAGGTGACATTTTTTGCACTATGAAGCAGGGCCATTGCCTAAAACGTCACTTATTTTTAATATTAAGGCTACACACCTATTATTGACGAATGCGTTGATATTTTGTCAATTGTGCTTGTGCACGACTGCCAGCGCAGCAGCAGCTTCATCGCCAAGATTATTAGTTTAGATTTACATGAGAATAATTACGTGATCTTTTGACTCCACGCGATAAGCCACTTCGCTGAGCTATCATTTGTGGCCAGGTAGCTCCTGAAAAAGAGCTGTATAGCTCAGTGGGCCTTACCTGTTAAAATAAATAATAGTTTATATAAAACATTGTTTCGAATATAAGTGACTTTAAAATGGCACACATTCTACCTCCTTCCAATATGTGTGTACACATCCCAAAAGCCACAAGGCCGTCTGTATTGTGTGCATTGTTTAGTTAATTATTAGAGGATATGTACCATGGCTTGTTTTAGTGATTGGCAACGACCTCCTCTTTGCTTTGCTGAAGTCAAACAAACAGGTACGATATTTATATTCTTGGTTCTTTCGGTAAAGTCACGTAGAAGTGCAGTATTAGGTTCCATAGTTCATTTATTTGGTATAGCCCTGTGAGCAATTCGGCTCTTGAATCGGGTGCAACCACAACAAACAAAAACATGAACAAGAAAACATTTTGGAGATCTTTTTTGTGATCCCCGCAATGTAGGGTAAAGTGATGGTTTTGAAAGGCTCCTCAAGAGGGTCCTTCTTCATGGTTGGAGTGATAGCTTTGCGGATTGTGTAGTCGGAATAACCATAAGCTATCACTCCAACCATGAAGAAAGACCCTCTTGAGGAGCCTTTCAAAACCATCACTTTACCCTACATTGTGGGGATCACAAAAAAATATCCAAAATCTTGAATAAACACAAGATCCAGGTCCGATTCAACACATTACATAAAATCCGTAATCTGGTTCCGTCTGTAAAAGATGTGATTCCGGACATACAGTATCCTGGCGTCTACAAACTAAGTTGCCTCTGTGGTAGCAGTTACATTGGAGAAACCAAACGACATGTCTCGGACCGCATTCGTGAACACAAAGCAGACCTGAAACACGGTAGGACCAACACCTCGGCCGTGGCAGATCACTGTTATAATTCAGTAGGCTCACATGACATTGACTTCTCCAAGACAGAGGTTATTTGCAAGCCATCTGGCTACCATGAGAGATTCGTTCATGAAGCTATCCACATATACAAACACAGAGACAATTTCAACCGAGAAGATGGATTCTGGCTTAGCAATCATTGGAAGGATTTGATAAACCATTTCGGGTCTTATTTGATTGTTCACGCTTACGGTGGCTTTCAGACCGTATCCATTATTTTTCGTCTCCCCCCTCCTCTTTCCTGAACATAGATGGACTAGTCCATCTGAACAAACTGTCAAATCGCTCTCCGTGGTGCTAACGTTTAAAAACCGCCACTTTTTTCAAATTTTCTTGCTGTGGTTTTCACACCTGATGATTGCTTGTGTTGCAGTCGAAACGTCGTGAGAATTTTATTGTTTTATGTTTTTATTATTTTATTGTTTCCCTTCTACGTGACTTTACCGAAAGAACCAAGAATATGAATCCCTGCAGTCACGAAAGCTTTAAATCAAAATTTAGGTACGATATTTGTTGTTGTGGTAATGACAGCGCACCATCTTAGTGTAGAACCTATTGTAGTATTGTATTGTAATCACAACAGTCATTATTGAATTAAAATGATCGCCATGAACTGGAAAATAAAGTCATTAGAAATATATCTTAATAGATTGATGCTATAGATTGAAGAGAATACATACTCATTTAGAAAGCGATCCTCAACCCTTTGAGATTGACGAAGAGGTTCTTTTACTGACTCCGAAATGCTGCAAGCATTCGGGCAGTGTCCCCAGTAAACGTGCAACGTTCACCCAACCTCTTTTGTAATCGTTTATGCAACATGGCAATGGAGCCACGTTGTATAGACGGGGGATGCACGGTGGACGTTACGGTTGTTCAGGGGTAACTGGCAAACAGGCAACCGCGTCGTACTGTGTTTCACCGCCACAGTGAGTTGAGCTTCCATGTCGAAACAACTCCCATTTAATTTGCATAGCTCCCTGGCAGTAATTTGCAAGTGACTCTTCTTCCATGTATGGACCAAATACATGCATTGGGTTGAATAGTCGCATTTACAGATGCGTCGCGCGATTCCGGATAATTCAACGGCATATTCTTTGGTTCTATTCGGTAAAGTCACGTAGGTAAAAGTAAAATTAAAAAAATCACGACGTTTCGGCCACAACACAAGTGGCCTTCATCAGGTGAAGGGACCGGACTTTCCAGAGGACAGCGTTGGTTTTTGTTATTTTATTTTTACCTACGTGACTTTACCGAATAGAACCAAAGCTTCAAATCTAGAATCAACGGCACATGTCACTGCACAACGCGTAGAGCAGTGGTTCCGATCACCCAGTCACTCTTGCGAACGAGACTATCGGTGGCATATTGAGTTCCCATCTGGTTAAACAAACTTTACCTGATACGACTACAGCACGACCTCGTGACATGAACGCGTGTATAATTAAAGAGGTTTAGAGATGCACATAAATACCTCATAATCTCGTCATACTGATTTTTTCCGATTGGTTTGTCTAATTTTTTTTCCCCATGCCGCACTAATTTTAGTGATGTGAACTAAAGTGAGATCCTTCACATTAACTTGATACAAATGGTTTAGAGCTCTCATCATCACTAAAAGAAGCCATTTTGTCCAACGCAATCTTAATAGTCTAAATTATTGTACAGTACTGATAAGGCACCGGCTGATCTATACGAAATAGAAATGGCAAATTCTGACAAATGTCTTCACTCCATTGACATTAACTGAAAAACGACGCGAATGATCCTACATTCCTTGCGGCCACTGTTCGAGTTAAGCGAGTCAACCCAGAGAATGGAGGCGTGAGTGGTAACGCCTGAAGTCACACTTTCAAGTCAATTCTCTACCTCTGAGCTTGCCGCCTCTGCTGCAGACAGCTGAAGCCGTCACTATCGCCCCCTTCATCCTCGTCGTCCAAGCCGGAGGCACTGTACGATTCTCTTTCAGAGGAGAACTCAATCTCACTTTCCACACTCGTCCACGGGAAGAGCTTTCGGCGTCACTCTGCAGCATTGTACCCAGCGCAAACATATTCGGGTTCATTTAGTCCTGTCCATGCCAGATTTCGAGCCTGACCTGGGCCCAACCTCTCTGGCGAAACTTATTTGGAGTGGTCATGCACAGGGCATGGGCATCTAGTCCAAGGGATAGTAACTGTGACATAGGACCCTTTCCTCCTCTGGGCCCCATGAGTGATATATGTATGTATGTTGAATTTATTTCGCAACGCACGTAGCCAATCGGAGGTGCGGGTGGAGAGGACAACACAATAAGCTGTAGTTTTTTTGTTGTCAATAAATGCCTCATCTCTTGGGGGGGGGGGTGGGTGATGAAATCTGATTTCTTAGCAACGTGTCACACTGAGTAAAGGGGGCCATCAAACAAGAGGTTGAGAAACCACTGGACCCACCCCTGTCAAATAAACGTGGACTTCCACCACTGGTTCAAGACCACTGAACACATGCCTTGTTGTACTTTCTCCGCACCTCCGATTAGGACTGTTGGCTACGTACGGTGTGAAAGAAGTTGAACGTAGATACATACGTGGGAGCCCAGATCTTCTGAAGTCAGCGGCAGTAGCTGTTTACCGAATGCCACAAGGAAGTGAGATATATGGAAAAGTGACAAAAATGCACGTCGGTTCAATTAGATACACAGTACTTTATTAAATCAGGGAGATCCTGAGTACAATAACTTTTCCAAGGAAAACCTGGATACCCAAAGATATGTAGGTATGAATAGCTATGTTTCATTTGGATATGCAAGGATAGTTATCAATTCTCAACATGTTTTCATTGGTAATTCTCAAACATGTGATATGACATACGATACTGGGAAAAAACGCCCTCTGTAAGAAACACCGGAATAAGGATATTTAATAATATTATAATAGGTTTTTCCCCTTTTTTCTGGCAACAAAACTGAAACCTTTTTTACAAGGATTCATGTCCGCATTAACCACAATACCTGCAGTCAAAATGCAAACAAAAAACATACTGTGATAATATGCATTGTCCAGAAAAAAGGGGAAAAACCCTATTATTACATTTTGGTACTGGCAAAGGAGGTCTAATGATGAAAGGATATTTAATGTTCATTGTACAGTACATCACAGATTTTTGGAGCGATGCCATGCGGAAGTTACTGAACCAAATAAGAAACGGAACCTTATGCCCAGTGCAAAATGTATCCACAGTGAAATGAGCAATTAAAAGATACTGTTTTTTTCAGTTTCTGACATGAAGCCTACATTGCAGTCGCATTGACAATTTCACAGTAAATCACTGTCAATGTTGACATCACGACCACACACCTCGTGATTGTCAACTTCATCATCCTGCCAACCATCATCACCACCATCATCTGAGTTACCTTGTCGTCTGGATCATGGATGTTATCATCTTTACATCATTCACTTATATTCACCATCATCTACACCAACTTCGTTCACACCTTCATTATCGTGATCATGCTTTGCTCCTCTCCCCTGTGCTGAGATGTTGTCTGCCGTCTCCTTGACCTTTCCCTTGCTGCCCTTTATTCAGCTGTCCTTTTGAGGACACCGCGCTCCCTTTATGCTGGCTTTTGGTGGGATGTGTTTTCCAGTTACCGTTCCCTTGTCGACCTTTGACCTGCTGCGATGCACTTTTATGTCCTTTCAACTGCCGCCCCTCCGATCTGGAGTCAACGTGAGCCTCTCTACCGACGGGCTTGAGTTGCACGCCCGGCCTGTGTTGCCCGTCAAGTTGGTCTCCACTTTTGGAACTCCGAGCCACCACTTTATCCTGCGGCCTCTGCGAATGCGGACCCTTACCCTTCCCCTTCTGCCTCTTGATATTTTCTCCCGGCTGCTTTTGATCATGTTTTTCCTGCTGCACTCGGTGTTTTGCCTGCTGCCCCTTAATGTGTCTTTCTTGCCCCTTCTGGTTTCCTCCGTCTTGCTGCACCATGCCTCCTCTCTCCTCGCGCTCTTTACTCTCTCCCTGCTGGTTATTGACTCTCTGCTGCTGCCCTCTGCCCGTGTCTGACTGCCCAGTCCTGCGCGCAGCGTACGAGTATTTGAGCCACACGGGGGGCAGCTTGCTCTTGCCCCCGCTGCCCGCACAGAGTACCTCCAGCGACAGGGCCTCGGGAATCGGCAGCAGCGCCCTCAACGTCTCGGGATTGGAGAACGCGCCGCTGTACAGCATCACGCTCTCTCTTGCTGGGCCCGCACCCGCCGCTCCCCGTCTGCTCCGACCCGCGCTGTCCGTCCGCTGGGCAGCAGCAGCAGCGGGCAGCAGGCGGATGTCTCGGCTGCCCGGCGTCACGACGAGCTGCCCGTTTAGAAGGTAGCGTCCGTCCGCCCCACGCACCGCCAGGTACGCGGTGTCGGGGGGCGATGACGGCGGCAGCAACGGCGGAGTGGAGGGTGCCGATGGCGACGGAGGCGACGACATTTGCGTCACGTGAATCCGCGCCGAACCGGCCGGGATGGTAACCACGTGGTTGTAGCCGAAACGCCTGAAAATGTAAAAATCGGTGAGGTTAGTTTGTCATCAGTCACACGGGCCGGTTACGCTATCGGTTGAGAGGGGAAGAAATGTTCTCAGCAGTAGCTGCAGGGCCTCCCATTGCATTGTGTGTACAGTGAGGGAAATAAAGTATTTGATCCCCTGCTGATTTTGTACGGTTGCCCACTGACAAAGAAATGATCAGTCTATAATTTTAATGGTAGGTTTATTTGAACAGTGAGAGACAGAACAACAAAAAATCCAGAAAAACGCATGTCAAAAATGTTATAAATTGATTTGCATTTGAATGAGGGAAATAAGTATTTGACCCCCTCTCAATCAGAAAGATTTCTGGCTCCCAGGTGTCTTTTATACAGGTAACGAGCTGAGATTAAGAGCACACTCTTAAAGGGAGTGCTCCTATTCTCAGCTTGTTACCTGTATAAAAGACACCTGTCCACAGAAGCCATCAATCAATCAGATTCCAAATTCTCCACCATGGCCAAGACCAAAGAGCTCTCCAAGGATGTCAGGGACAAGATTGTAGACCTACACAAGGCTGGAATGGGCTTGGTGAGAAGGTGACAACAGTTGGTGCGATTATTGGCAAATGGAAGAAACACAAAAGAACTGTCAATCTCCCTCGGCCTGGGGCTCCATGCAAGATCTCACCTCGTGGAGTTGCAATGATCATGAGAACGGTGAGGAATCAGCCCAGAACTACACAGGAGGATCTTGTCAATGATCTCAAGGCAGCTGGGGCCATAGTCACCAAGAAAACAATTGGTAACACACTACGCCGTGAAAGACTGAAATCCTGCATCGCCCGCGAGGTCCCCCTGCTCAAAAAAGCACATATACATGTCCGTCTGAAGTTTGCCAATGAACATCTGAATGATTCAGAGGACAACTGGGTGAAAGTGTTGTGGTCAGATGAGACCAAAATGGAGCTCTTTGGCATCAACTCAACTCGCCGTCTTCTTTGGTTCTTTCGGTAAAGTCACCACGTAGAATGAGAATAAAATAATAAAATAACAATAAAATTCTCACGACGTTTCGGCCACAATGCAAGCGGCCGTCTTCAGGTGAAAGGTACAGACCTGTCGGGACGACAGAGCTTCATTCTAATTCTACGTGACTACCGAAAGAACCAAAGAAGATGAATCCTTGCAGTCACGAAAGCTTTCAATCGAAATTCAACTTGCCGTGTTTGGAGGAAGAGGAATGCTGCCTATGACCCCAAGAACACCATCCACACCGTCAAACATGGAGGTGGAAACATTATGCTTGGGGGTGTTTTTCTGCTAAGGGGACAGGACAACTTCACCGCATCAAAGGGACGATGGACGGGGCCATGTACCGTCAAATCTTGGGTGAGAACCTCCTTCCCTCAGCCAGGGCATTGAAAATGGGTCGTGGATGGGTATTCCAGCATGACAATGACCCAAAACACACGGCCAAGGCAACAAAGGAGTGGCTCAAGAAGAAGCACATTAAGGTCCTGGAGTGGCCTAGCCAGTCTGCAGACCTTAATCCCATAGAAAATCTGTGGAGGGAGCTGAAGGTTCGAGTTGCCAAACGTCAGCCTCGAAACCTTAATGACTTGGAGAAGATCTGCAAAGAGGAATGGGATAAAATCCCTCCTGAGATGTGTGCAAACCTGGTGGCCAACTACAAGAAACGTCTGACCTCTGTGATTTCCAACAAGGGTTTTGCCACCAAGTAGTAAGTCATGTTTTGCAGAGGGGTCAAATACTTATTTCCCTCATTAAAATGCAAATCAATTGATAACATTTTTGACATGCGTTTTTCTGGATTTTGTTGTTGTTATTCTGTCTCTCACTGTTCAAATAAACCTACCATTAAAATTATAGACTGATAATTTCTTTGACAGTGGGCAAACATACAAAATCAGCAGGGGATCAAATACTTTTTTCCCTCACTGTAGCAGGATACATTGCGTTAAAGAGTAATTTAATACGATCACTTTTTTGGCAATAATTGTTGACTGCACTGTACTGGAAACTTGGCTAAAGCTAAATCAGAATCAATCTCTCCTAGAGAGCCGTGGGGCTAAAGAGTTGCGTAAATTATTTGTGTTTATGTGAAGACACAGATATACAAAAGAGACAAACCTGCTGTCTGCTTGTGTGTTTTGTCATTTATATTCTCCATAATGACTGGAATCATTACTTATTTATATAAAAATTTGTTGGTTTTTTAGGTGAGACACACAGGTATAACCTGCTCAGGGTAATATGTAACTTCATTCCCATGACAATCGCTATGTGTTTGTGTGAACATGAGGGTTGGGTGCACACATTTATAGGCTTTGCGCAATGTTACAAACATGACTCATGCAATAAGCCAATTTATTGTCGAAGATATATTTTTAAACTAATGTCCCATAAAATTAATTACATGCATAATAATTTATTGATTGATTGATGAAAAGCACCCATGTCAAAATGTTACATTAATGTCATTGGAGTGAACAAGACTACAAGCGAGACATTATCACGTGCATGGATTTGTAAACGATGTACGTGGTACGGTGAGCGATGTGCGTGGGGCAGCACTAGGGTAGCGGTTAGCGCTACGCTGCGCCAAAAACCCGGGCGACCCGAGTTCTATTCCTGCTCACGGCCAACACCAACGATTATCTGAACCAGTCATGGGCATCTCCTAGGTCGACTCAGCCTCAAATGAGTACCTGGTGCAGTGTGTAAAACATGACCACTGGGGAGACAAAGGCGGCCGGGCGTGGTGTTTTGCCTCCCGACCCTCTCGTGTGCCGCGCCGGCCTTCATAGGCGTTGCTCGCTAACAGCCACTTACCCCAACAGTCTGTTAAGGCTGTACGGGGGGGGGGGGGATCTTTGCCTTCGACGTGCATGGCATGGTACGGAATAAGCGCGGCTCGGCAAGCAACGGGCGCGTGACGCCGCGAGTGAGACGCGCACTTGGGCCGGGTGAAGACGCCGCTGACGAGCGTGCACGAGGAGCCGTCCCCGCGGCACACACCGCAGCGGTCCCGCGCGGCGCGCGAGCCCAGGGTGCCATCACACCCCGTGGGCACGCACTGCCCCTCCACGCACACCCCGCCGCCCGGCTCCGCTCCGCACGCCGTGCCGTCCACCACCTGGGGAGGGGGAGCAACAACAACAACAACAAAAACGCGGGCGCAGCCGGGAGGCGTCGTGAGCATTATGATGTCCGTCCGCACGTTCCAAAATCTAAGCGACGCTATGCATTTGCTTGATTGGCACGGTTGGCTACGTACGGTGCGAAAGAAGTTCAATGTACGCATGTACGTACGTACTTGGCAGAAAAACCTTTCCAAAAATATGGCTTGCTCGCACGGTTGTTTGGCTTCTAAATTGTCCATTATCCATGCACGGCCGTGGCACAGTATAGACAGGCCCCTGTGATACAGTCCGGAGAACTCGGAGCCGAGTTGATTTGCCACTGGCTGGTACCAGCGGTGTCAAGGTCAACCTGTGGGAAGGAGTTGTGGGGACGGTGCCACTGAGCTACTGGTGGCAGCTACCATATAAGGACGAACAGCAGGCAAAGTTCACACCAATAAGCAGAGCGTCACGCCGTTATACCAGCGAGGTGACCGGTGGTGGGCGTCCTGGTGACATCACTGCCGCCGCTTACTGGTCAATGACAGCTGCTGCTGTTGTAACAAACATTTAGTCACAGTAGGAAGGACAGGAGTTGTATCTGTGGCCAGTTAACCCATAACACCTGCGTCTGTTCCATAACCTCGTGCCAGCAAGTTTTCGCCACTCCGAGTGGTGTCAGAGTGCACCTAACCGCGGCGAAGTCACTGGCAGCGGTGAATGGCTGCTGCTGCTACTGCTACTACTGCAGGCGCTGTTGCGTCATGGGCAAACCTCGGGGAAGTCACGAGCCACGAGCTCAGTGCTTCCAGTCAGAGTCGCTTTAAGCACGCGCACAGTGGCTAACCTCGTGAAATTCGAGATGCTCAATGGGGAGGCGAGGCTTCTTCCCATTCGCCAAGTGCTCGCTTGCCAGGGCTTCTGGGCCACGCATGCTCAGCTACGGCAGAGCCAAGCAGCTTGTTGTCCAGGATGGAGGGGGAGGGCCAAATAGGTTGTGGTATGGGCTAGGAAAGAGTTGACATTCCTCAGAGCCAAAAACACAGAGCGCGGTGGATTTGGCTCGCCGGCTCCTGCTGCCGCTGCTGCAGGTGTTTGGAACGGCCTTGCGTGGGGAAGGCTCGTGAACGGAGCTGCCCTGCAGCTGCAGGCATTCGCTCTGTGACCGGAGACGGGGGAGCAGGGGAAGAGTGCTGGGCGAATTCGCACAGTGAGCCGGGGACGTGAAGACGAGCCCATCAGCCAGCCACTCTTCCCAAATAACCACAGACACGTGGCATAGTGACATAGCCTCCTTCAACCACTCTACCTTGCCTTAAAGCGCACCGGGCATGACACAACCGTTGTGACGCAAATTTCAACTTTTGTTGCTGTGCCGGGCTCTTGAAGGCCATACGGGGGGAATCTGTCTTTTTATAAGTGACAGTAGGCTGCTCTTTAGGATTTTTAAATTTCACTATTTAAAGCCTGAGGTTCAGAGGCCGATCGCTCGAGTGAGGGAGGTGAGAGGAGACGTATGTATGTACATAAGTTGAACTTCTTTCTAGGTGCTCACTAACAGCACTTGCCCCAACAGTCTGTTAAAAGCGCACGGGGGATCTTTGTCTTTGTTTTGAACTTCGTCCGCATCGCACGTAGCCAACCGTGCTTATCGGAGGTGCGGGGAGCCGAAGCTCAGCGGGGGTGGGGGGGGGGGATGGAGCCAGGAGAGTGGTAGTAGAAGCGTGCATCCGTGCGTGCTCACCCTGCGCGCAAACATGTAATAGTAGGCGGTGCCGTTAGCACGGCAGAGCAGCTTGCAGCGGTCGGCCAGCGCCACGCCCGACACCTTTGGCACCCAGAGCACGGGGCGCGATGCCCGCGCGCCCGGCGGGCCCGGCGGTTCGGGCGCGCCCTTGGCACTCGCGCTGTTGTGCTGCGCACACTGCTCCTCCCTGAACGACAGGCCTGGCCAGGGGGGGTGGTGGGAGACCGTGGGAGTGCGACGATGAGCTCGCGAGGGGGGTAGGAGGAGGAGGGAGACGGTGGTGTTATCGTTAACACATGGGTGGCAGTCTGTAGCCGGTGCAAACGATCCGCATTTGTATTTTGGATTTGGGCCACGTATGTCAGAATCTGAATATTTATACTGGAGGAATCCGATGAGCTATAAAGCTCTTTTTAGCAGATGTCCAGTAGGGGGCCAGGTACAACAATACAAAAACACGATAGGAGTGAAAAGTATATAAAAAAATCACTTACAAAAATGCAAATAAAATTATTATTTTTATATTACCAGGTAAATCCCACTGAGGTATTTTTTGAACTTCTTTCACACTGTATGTAGCCAACTGTGCTGAACACAAAAAAAAACTAAGCACGTAGTGGTAGTTTAACGTCAAAATCCTGAAGTTATTAACCGTCCACCACCCGACGAGCTTGTCACGTTTACAAAGATGTTACTTAAGCGTGGCGAATCTCGCCGATTGGATTCTGTCAAAGATTGTTTTGCGGCTGTGGCCCCCGGCACCTGTGGCGAGCTGGCAGGCCCGAGCGTGGCACGAGCGATAGCGCACACGCGCGCCGCCGCAGTAGGCGCCATGGCCACGCGGAGCCGGGGAGTCGCACGCGCGCGGAGACACCTGGGCCCCGCCGCCGCAAGAGCGCGAGCAGGGACCCCACGGGCCCCACCCGCCCCAGCCTCCGTCCACATCCTGGGCGGGGGACAGGGCGCGCAGTCCACAACGCACGCAGCACACACAGTCTGTTCTCCCGTAACGCAGTAATCCTTGCAATCCTGAAGAACACCGCGGTGTGATTTAGGGGAATGCACGTTCCGCGATAACACGTAAGATGCGCACGCAGGCTGTACACGTGGGTGGCATCTAGAAGCATCCAGCAGCATCCCGCCCTGTGCGATGCCACGCCGAGGCAGCCGTACGACCGCTTATTCCTACTCGCGTGACGTAGTTCTGTTCACTCGATCGCGTTATATTACATTCACATCCGCGTTATAAAAAAAAGCGTTCCCTAAAATATTCATAGCGTTATATCCAATTCGCTTCATGAAAACACTCGTTATAGGAGAACAGACGGTATACACTTAGATCACTTTCGTGTTCAGCCTGGGTCTCTCACTGTCTCAGGCGAGCGTGTATGAGCGTCCGTAATCGACTGGCGGTGCTCTGAGTCTGTGGCGGAAAACTCCACATTCCTCACGTCCCTCACAACGCCACGCGCATCGCTCGCCAAACAAAAATCTGGTGAACACTCTCACTCACCCGCGTCCCCACTCACTCGCTCACTCACACGCTCCCTCACTCCCTCGCCCGCTCACCGAGGCGCGCTGCTCCGCCGAAGTGCAGACACCGTGCGAGCACCACCGCCCGTGCCCGCACGCCGTCCCCTGCGCCCAGGGAAGGTGGCGCGTCACGCACACCTTGCCGCGGTGCCGGGCGCCGCCGGTGCCGGACTCCAGCGTGGCGCCCGGCACCGCGCACCACAGCTTGGCGCACGGAGCCGTGTGGGCGCACACGCGGGCGCCGGGGCCGAACGCCAGGCGGCACTGCACGCTCGCGGGATAGCGCGCCCCGGGGGTGAAGGGCGTCGGCTCCGCCTGGTGGCCCGTCGAGAGTGGCGGAGCCGCGGGGGCAGAGAGGAGGCAGTCGGCTGTGGGAAGAGCGGGAGGGGGCGGGCAGAGAGAGAGAGAGAGACAAGGGATGAAGATTAACGCATTGGGGGGCGGCGGGGGGGAAGACGGGTGAGTGACAGAGAGAGAAAGAGGTAGTAATGAGAGGGAGGGAGGTCCACATCATTGGTAGAGGGAAACAGAGTGGTGAAAGAGTGGAAGGTAGAGGAAGAATGCGAGTGCATGAGATAGCTGTAGAGAAAGCAACACAATGGAGTAGATAGTGAGAGGTTTGAGTTGATATTCTTGGTTCTTTCGGTAAAGTCACGTAGATAGAAAATTAAAATTAAATAAAAATTACAAATAAATTTAAAATAAAAGCAAAAAACCCCACGACGTTCCGATCGCAACACAAGCGCCTGATGGTTTGAGTTAATTTGATTTGTTACACGGCAGATTCTCATCATCAAGCCTCTCATCCACTTGTGCGACCCAGTCACTTGCCAAGGCTGGACTGCCACCTGCTATGGCTGCGAATGCTTCCCCAACACCACCCCCAACACATCGACGCCTCCACACACACACACAACATCTCCTCGCTCTCTCTCTCTCTCTGCCCACCTCCCCCCGAGTGGAAGATGTCATCGAGCAGCGCCGCACTGCACGGAGACCAGGGCCGCGCTGGGTCCACGTGCGCCAGCGTCGCCGACATGATGTGAGCGCGAGGACGTCCGCTGGGGGACCAGGAGGGTTTGCACGGGGGGGGGGGGAGATTGAGACAAAATACCGGTAACCACTGGCCAATGAGCAAGGCAACAAAGACCTCTTTATATTCTTGGTTCTTTCGGTAAAGTCACGTTGAAAGAACCAAGAATATGAATCACTGCAGTCACGAAAGCTTTCAATCAAAGGACCTCTTCATGACCTGTAACGACGCAACGTCCGATCCACAAATACGGATGAGACATCGCAGCGATGCACTCCGCTACTCCTGACGCGGTTATCTGGCTTGACCACGCGAGTGTGAAATTGTAGTTGTTGCTCCGCTTCTACATCAGCCGTACGAAGGGAAAGGAGAATGACGATGACAACGCATACTCAATGAAGCCTTATTGCTTTGTGACATCTTGGCAGTTGACCAGCAAGCCTGAGTCTGCTGGTGAGGCACTGAACTGTATATCGAGGGGTAGTGTAGCGGTGAGCGAACCCGGCGACCGGTGATCGATACCTGCTCATGGTGAAGAACACAGACCATTATTGGAACCGGTCATGGGCCTCCCCTAGGTCGACTCAGCCTCAAATGAGTACCTGATGCGGTGTGTAAATATGGCCACCCACCCCTCGTGTGCCGTGTCGGTCTTCATTGGTGCTCGCTAACAGCACTTGCTCGATAAGCCTGTTGAGGCTATACGGCAGATCTTTGTATATCGAAACTGGTCCAGAGTGTAGCTCGTGAAGAATCAATGCTTCTGAAATGATGTTGTCCCATAAGGCCGTGTGGTGGGACAGATTTATTAAGATGTATTGCCTGTTTATATATTTTGTTATTTACATTCGTATGTATGTTGAACTTCTTTCGCACCATACGTAGCCAATTGTGATTATCGAAGGTGCAGGGGAAGGTCAACAAACTAAACACAAAATGCAGTTAAAAATAAATGAGTTTTCAATCTGGATGAAAAGTGCATCGCTCCAGTAGCTTGCTAATATCGGAAGGAAGAGCGTTCCAGACGGCCGCAAATGATTCCAGTATACTGTATTACGTCATCACTGTTGGTCAGTTCCTATGAAAATCACAAAAACATTTATTCGGGAATGAAACGCCGAGTGGTGTCGATCGCTCGCCGTTCGTTTCTGCTGAGCGGCGACGAAGCCGCACGCGCGTGTGCGTGCGTGTGTGTGCGTGCGTGCGTGTGCGTGCGTGCGTGTGTGTGCGTGCGTGCGTGTGTGCGTGCAGGTGTGTGTGCGTGTGTGTGTGTATGTGCGTGTGTGCGTGCGTGTGCGTGTGTGTGTGCGTGCGTGCACGAGTGCCGTCAATGAGCGGTTATGAGAAGCCACGCCGAGAGCTCCTAACATGGCGAGTGAAACGCTTGCAAGTTCACGGCGTAAGTTCCCCTTCATGGGGATGACGTGGAAGATTACCGGAGAGTTATCCTTTCACCACGGCCACTCGTTGCTTTCATTGCTCGCTTTCTCTGTCACTTCACGTAACTTTTTTTTTTGATCAAATGTCGCATAATAAATTGAGGCAAGAGTGTTTTATCTCTTCGCTAAGTAGTAAGCCGCAATTAATCACGGGTGGGGATCTAAGTAAAGTGCTTTTATTCTAGGAATGCACATTAGTATTAAAGCTCATGTGAATTTCCACTCAGTGACTGTTTTGGTTGGAGCACGAGGCCGAGTATGAATAAAACATTGGGCTCCATCTGCCGTGCGGACGCTCGGCGCGCAGATGGCACGGCGCGGGGTACCGGGGGTCTCGACGTTCAGACCTGGATCCCCCACATTTCGCCCCACGAGCTAACGGGGTTGGTCGGGACCACTATAGGGGGTAAATGCTCCTCGTATTTACCATGGGCAGTGGTCCACCATGGGCAGAAGCTGAGCGTGCATTCCGTCTGTTTTATGTACACACTACCGATTTATTTTCCTATTCCGCAGATGTTTAATATCACCGTAAGTTATTTTTTTGTTTTCCACAATTAAATTCCCAATTAAACTTCCTGTGGCAGGCAGCCTTAAGTAAATTTTAATAGAATCTCATAAAAACCTACCACAGTGACCTTGCTGTCGTGCATATTTATAATCTAGAGACACAATGCTTCTATTAAAAAAAAATCATGGTCAGTATTTTACCACCTTGGGTCGTACCAATAAACCCTTTTCGAGCCAATGGCTGGCCGGTCTTGTTTACTCGACGGTGTAGAGGAACGGCGACAGCCTGAGCGGGAGGAACGAGTGGCCAGATGCGTTAATCGCCTTAACTTAAATCTCCCCAGAGTTTGTCACTTTAGCTGGAGTAAAAAATCCGAGTGGATTTTTTTTAACTTTCAACTCAAACGAGCACGTTCATTTGTTCATTGCCTTCTGAGAGTTCGTTGAGACTAACGGTCTCTCGCAAGGGGGAAGCTCGGGTTTCGAAAAGCTACCAACTGAGTATCGCCAAATATGAATAATAATAAAAACAGCAGACGCGGTTTATGACGCGCCACGCTTCGCGAAACGGACGCAACGTTCGACCGAAAACCCAGGAGGCGCGGAGCCAGAGCTCAATAATAATAATTTGTTTTATTTTCAAAACCATGAGTTTTTCTCGATGAAGCAGGAAGAACGCACATGCCCGTGGGGGCGTTTTTATTAGTCTCCGGTTAAGTTAAGGATTACACCCGTCACCAGGGACACAACTTACCTATTTCAATGGGCGGGCTAGGCAAGATAAGACTGTGGACACCTCTCGTTTCTCCCGACTCACTTTTACTGAAATAGCTGCGGATGTTATTAACCCGTATACAATAATACGTAGGCTGTAATTATGTTAGTTGCACCGTGTATTGGGTTTAGAGGAAGACAGTCTCCCAGTGACAGTATTAATAAAAAAATATTGAAAGGGACAATGCTCACAAGGAAGTTATCGTGCGTCTTGCTTTCATGCCGGCCCCATTGATCTAGGATTTCCTCAAAGGGGGTGGGATCACGCAATTTCATGCTTTTCTATTCATATGATGCGTTAATCGGGCTTGGTCCCTGATAGACTGCAAGAAACCATCTTTATGAATATTTTTTGGATACATTATCTTGACATATTTTACTCGTTTATCTGTTGATTCGGGGGCCCCTTGTGGCCAACCGGGCCCCTTTGTGTCACAAAACGCTGCCACGTACCCAATAGTTGCGCCCCTGGGCGCGTTTTATTAGTCTCCGGTAAACTAAGGAGTTACGACGGTGACCTTTATGGACACTGCAGCCCAACGTGTGGCCGGCCCGACGTCTGGGACCTGCCACGCGCCATTGTCCCCCTGCCAGCAGCGTCAAAGCACCACACCCGGCGCCTAATCCCGATCCCCGGTGGCTGTCGTTACGCAGCTGCGCGAGCTGCGTGTGCGAATCCCCTCAGGGCTCACAAAGTCTTTCTGCTCCTAACGCTTGGAAGTGTCAACAGTGGTCTGGAGTTTGCCCGCTTAAACTAGTGCTGCTAGAAAAAAACATTGGTCCAGAAGGCTCATATGGAATGGTGCAGGGCTTGCCAAGGAATTGTGCAAATCATTGCCGTTGTCTGCGTTTCACCATCCTCTACCCATCAGTCACAAGTGGGCATGGGCACCAGAGATCCAGACTCTCTTGGACCAGGCTCAACAGACTGCTTTGTGGCTTTGAGTGTCTCGGCACCATCCCGGTTTGTGTGCCACCCCTACTACTACTACTACTCCACGCGACTGCAGAGCTGCCCAGCAGACAGCCATCCATCCACGTTGTTGAGGAGAGTCCCTTACAATGAGTGGGAAGGCCGATTGAACAGGATGAAGTAGTTGAGAGACTTGGATGGACAGCTTTGATAGCAAACGCAAGAAGCAAAAGATTGCTGATGGCCTGGTGAGACCTGTTTAGAGCTCACCTGGTGTCCTGGTGATGCCTGTTTAGAGCTCACCTGGTGCCCTGGTGAGACATGTTTAGAGCTCACCTGGTGCCCTGGTGAGACCTGTTTAGAGCTCACCTGGTGTCCTGGTGATGCCTGTTTAGAGCTCACCTGGTGTCCTGGTGAGACCTGTTTAGAGCTCACCTGGTGTCCTGGTGATACCTGTTTAGAGCTTACCTGGTGCCCTGGTGAGGCCTGTTTAGAGCTCACCTGGTGTCCTGGTGAGACCTGTTTAGAGCTCACCTGGTGTCCTGGTGATGCCTGTTTAGAGCTCACCTGGTGCCCTGGTGATGCCTGTTTAGAGCTCACCTGGTGTCCTGGTGAGACCTGTTTAGAGCTTACCTGGTGCCCTGGTGATGCCTGTTTAGAGCTCACCTGGTGTCCTGGTGAGACCTGTTTAAAGCTCACCTGGTGTCCTGGTGATGCTTGTTTAAAGCTCACCTGGTGCCCTGGTGATGCCTGTTTAGAGCTCACCTGGTACCCTGGGGAGGCCTGTTTAGAGCTCACCTGGTGTCCTGGTGAGGCGGCTGTGCGTGGTTTGTCCCCTTGAGGATCTCACTGCAGGCCTTCGACTCGTCATGCGGGAGGCCCAGGATGTGCCCTGGGCACACGCAGTGAGCAGCAGCAGCGGTCATCGTCGGGTGAGGAGTGGCTCGTCACCACGAGATCGAACGTTGCAATATGAGGTTACGATTTGATGCTGGAAGTAATAAAAACAAATCTTGGTTTGTTCTATTGCATTTGTACTGTCCGTAGAGCCTTATTTAATTTAATCTTAATGTATATGAATATTTTTGACTTCTTACATTTTTATTCAATGCTCGATGCCACCAACAGAAACTTTGTACTTTTATATTAATTCCCAAATGATCATTTATGAACGTTCTTAAAATGTCCCAGTTTTCTCGAGGACCCACAGTGTGTAGTGTGATCTCCAAGCGAAAAGTCAGTGGGCCTCTGTTTCCCTCTGGCTCTTTGCTCTGAAGATGAATGTCATCCTAATAATCCATTTCTCTGGATTATGAGATGCACTTTTCTCCCCGCTGTATTTTAATGTAAAAGTTGGCCTATATTGGTTTCCTCTACCCAGCCGAATAAAATATTCCAGTGCACGCAAGTGTGTGTGTGATCATAATAACAATTCTCACCCGTAAAACCCCGTTCAAGTGCTGCACAGAGCTAAAAACACAAATACGTTTTATAAACGAAAAAAATAATCCTCATTAAAAACCTAATAAAAGCACGGAGGCTCGTGATAAGAACACCCCACCGAACAAAAACCAAATCGGTCTAGATATATATAATGAATAGGAATTCTACAAGGTCTTTAAGAACAGATGGCGTCTCAAGGCGGGAATAGAATAAGCCGAGGGACTGCTCCGTGCGGACCGAATATCTGGGGGGGGGGGGGGGGGGGGGGGTGAATTCCAGAGCCCTGGGCGGGCGGAGGAGGAGGCGGCGCACAGGAAGGGGACCGGTCGTCCACCGAGCGGATGTGGGCTACGCGATGACGGCTGTGGAACCTTCACGGCTGTGGAAACTTGACGGCTGTGGAACCTTCACCGGCTGTGGAACCTTCACCGGCTGTGGAACCTTCACCGGCTGTGGAACCTTCACCGGCTGTGGAACCTTCACGGCTGTGGAACCTTCACCGGCTGTGGAACCTTCACCGGCTGTGGAACCTTCACCGGCTGTGGAACCTTCACCGGCTGTGGAACCTTCACCGGCTGTGGAACCTTCACGGCTGTGGAACCTTCACCGGCTGTGGAACCTTCACCGGCTGTGGAACCTTCACCGGCTGTGAAACCTTCACCGGCTGTGGAACCTTCACCGGCTGTGGAACCTTCAACGGCTGTGGAACCTTCACCAGCTGTGGAACCTTCACGGCTGTGGAACCTTCACCGGCTGTGAAACCTTCACCGGCTGTGGAACCTTCACCGGCTGTGGAACCTTCACCGGCTGTGGAGCCTTCACCGGCTGTGGAACCTTCACGGCTGTGGAACCTTCACCAGCTGTGGAACCTTCACCGGCTGTGGAACCTTCACCGGCTGTGGAACCTTCACCGGCTGTGGAACCTTCACGGCTGTGGAACCTTCACCGGCTGTGGAACCTTCACGGCTGTGGAACCTTCACCGACTGTGGAACCTTCACCGGCTGTGGAACCTTCAACGGCTGTGGAACCTTCACCGGCTGTGGAACCTTCACCGGCGCGTGGGAACGCTCCAGGGCGTCTCTGGGACCCCGTGTGTGTGTGCGGTGTGGTGCGGGTGAGCGGTGGCGCTGCGGTTAGCGCGCTGCTCGCAGGAACGCAGCGACCCGAGTTCGATTCCCGCTCACGGCCACCAACGCCGGTGACGATTCTCTGATTCTGTCCTGCGCCTCCCGTCGGGCGACTCGGCCTCAAATGAGTACCTGGTGTGCGACGTGTAAGCATCGCACCCTGGGGGAGACAAAGGCGGCTGGGCTGGCGTTGGTGCCGGCCACCCACCACCTCGTATATTCCGTGCCGACCTTCATAGGTGCTGCTCACGAACAGCACTTGTCCCATCAATATGTTAAGGCTATACAGGAGAGCTTTGTCTCATTTAGTTTTGTTGTCCTTCCCCGCACCGCCGATTAACACGGTTGCCTACGTACGGTGCCAAAGAAGTTCAAGACACACACCCGCAGGCACACACACACACACAACACGTTCGGCGCGAGCGGACACGCACCGATCTCGTGCGCCATTGTGTAGGCGGCCGTCATGCCGTGGTCCCGGATGACTGCACAGCTCCGCTGGGGGTCGCACACGGTGCCCACGTCCGCCATGCCCAGCGTGTGGCAGCTGTGCGCTCCGCACAGCTCCTGCGTAGCGGCACACGCGGTGGGGTGAGGGGGGGTGAGAGGTGTCGGCGTCGTGTGGCACTCGAGTTCGCAACTGCCGAGGCCCTCCCCAGCAAGAACGAACGACGCAAGAGTGCCTGGCATAAAAAATTAAATAAGATGTGCTCAAGCTTTGAACCGACTCGTGAGATGACTTGGCCGGAGGGATTGTGAGATTGTGAGTGACGTACACATACAGAGCCTTTTTTTTTGGACAATCCACTGCTGGATGAAAGCCATCCCCACGCCTGGTCTCATTGGTTCTTAGCTGATCATCGATGTCTGCTCTACACCTGTCCATCACGTGTCTGCACCATCACATGTCCGTCCAAAGTGTCACGTGTCCGTCACGTGCCAGTACACCGTGTCACGTGTTTGTTCATTGTGTCACATTTCCATCACGTGTCGGTTCACCGTGTCACGTGTCAGTCCATCGTGTCACATGCCCATCACGTGTCTGTCCGTCGTGTCTGCATGTCTCATGTCCATCTGCCAGGTGTTGTCCGACGCCCACTGAATTTCTCGACGACCTTCGCTCTCCGTCTCGGTCACTGCTCACAGTGAAAGTGAACACTTTTGTCAAACGAACGTTGCTTTCGACAGGTATTGCAAACAGACTTGAGCTGAGGATCAAACACACGACCGTTGTTTCCAAGTGTTCTGCAAACGAGAGTTCTAGCCCCGGACAAACCAGAATTTCAACCGGAGTAGAGACACCGCCGATGAAGGTCCTAGTGACTGGCGTTGGCCAGACCTGGAGTCAAAGGACATCACGGCAATATTGTAAGTTCGGTTTAAAATGAGAGAGTGATGACGCAATCACTTCTCTTGTAAGAGCAACAGCTCTTACAAGAGTAAGGATTACAACAACACTACGATACCAACATTTACTTTTGACTTACGATCCGTTTTCTGACACTTAAGATCGTACTCCCACCGTAGCCTTGCCAGACTTACGAGGAATCATAAAAGATCAAATTCTCCACTCTGGCCCCAGCACCGACAACACCAGTCGAATTCTCAAATGCATTACCCACGTGCCCTGCCTTAACCGGCATTTGTGATTTTCCCGGAACACAACTGAACGCTTTACGAGAATGTCGCGTCGCGCGTTCGCCGTCAAAAGAAACTCGTTGCACCACGACACGTGTACCTGTCAACAGAAACTAGCTGCACCACGACACGGGTACCTGTCAATAGAAACTCGTTGCACCACGACACGTGTACCTGTCAACAGAAACTAGCTGCACCACGACACGTGTACCTGTCAATAGAAACTCGTTGCACCACGGCACGGGTACCTGTCAATAGAAACTCGTTGCACCACGACACGTGTACCTGTCGGTAGAAACTCATCGTGCCACGGCACGTGTACCTGTCAATAGAAACTCGCTGCACCACGACACATGTACCTGTCGGTAGAAACTCATCGTGCCACGGCACGCGTACCTGTCAATAGAAACTCGCTGCACCACGACACATGTACCTGTCGGTAGAAACTCATCGTGCCACGGCACGTGTACCTGTCAATAGAAACTCGCTGCACCACGACACATGTACCTGTCGGTAGAAACTCATCGTGCCACGGCACGCGTACCTGTCAATAGAAACTCATCGTGCCACGGCACGTGTACCTGTCAATAGAAACTCGTTGCACTATGGCACGCGTACCTGTCGCGTGAGCAGCACGGCCACGTGGTGCGCGGGACCGGCGCCGCCTCGCATCTCGCGCCTCTGCCATGCGCAGAAGCTCCTGAGCGTGGCGGCGGCGTCGCCGCGTGATGCGGGCACCGCAGGGGCCGCCACCAGCGGCGCGGGGGCCACGCGGCCCCTCGTGTCGTTGGCCGCCGGCTCGCTCCGGCCCCTGCCGGCATGGGGGGACGTGCTGTTGGCCCCATCGTGCTTCTCGCCCGGTTTTGCGTCGCCAGATTTTCCGTCGCCAGATTTGCCGCCGGGCTCGCCGTGCGGTTTGTCGTGCGATTCGGATTTACGGTCCGATTTGACGGACGGAGTCGCTGTGCTCGTCACTCTGCGCTCGGTTCTGCCGGCAGATTTATCAGCAGGAGCGTTGCCATCCGATTGACCTCCCGGTTTACCGTGCGGTTTGTGGTCTGACTTGGAGGCAACTGTACTGCCCGATTTATCGACCGCTTTGCTCTCATCGGATTTAGCGCTTCCCGAGTTGTTGTGCACTTTACCGGCAGACGAACCAAAAGGCGTGAGTGTACTGTTTAATTTACGCTCTGCTTTACCGGCTGATATATCAACAAGTGGTCTACTGTTGACATTATCATCTGCTTTAGTCTGTGATTTGCCTTCAAGTTTAATGTCTGATTTAGCGGCTACTTTACCTTCCGCTTTACTCTCGGATTTTCCAGCTGATTTGTCATCTAATTTACTGCCTGAATTATCATCAGATTTACCATCTGATTTGCTGTCTAATTTATGAACAGATTTACTGTTTTCAGATTTGTTGTAAGATTTAATGATTGGTACCCTATCAAATTCAGCGTCTATTTTACCCTCTGAATTTTCATTCAATTTACGATCAGATTTACCCTCAAACGTACCAAACAGTGGCCACTTATGTATTACCTTACCGCCGGTTTTAACACCTGGTTCACCCTTAGGTGGAGGTTTACTCTCCGCTTGACCATGCACTTGCTTATCCGGTACAATTGAAGGTGGAATTTTACTGTCCGATCTGCACTCTGAATTCCCATCTGCTTTACAATTAGCTGACAGTCTGCCATTGGTTTTACCATCCGATTTACCAACAGGTGGTAGTTTACTCTCCAACTTTCCATCTGCTTTGCCATCTGTTTTGCCGGCAAATTTAAACAAAGGCTGTGGCTTTCCGTCTGACGTGGCAGTTGATTTATTGTCAAATTTACCATCTGCTTTGAGCAAAGCCGAGAGTTTTGTGCTTGATTCACTGTCTGATTTGCTGCCTGCTTCACTGTCGGGACGCGGCCCAGCGTCCGATTTGGCGCCCGCTCGCAACTCACAATTGAATGTCTTGCCCAACAGTGACAAACAACCTGGTTCACCTTCACTCTTACCATCCGGTGACAAATCGGCAATAGGTTTACCTTCGGAGTTATCGCCCAGTTGTGATTTATTGTAAGGTTTGTCACCGAATGGCAGTTGTCCATGTAAATTTCCATCTTTTGGCAGTTCCTGGTCCGTTTTAACCCATAGATCACCCTCTTTTTGGGATTTAACATCTGATTTACCATGCAGTGGTGATGTGCTACCAAATGTTCCATCTTTTTGTTGTGTGTCTTCCAAATGTCCCTTTGCCTGCGATTTACTATCAGATTTACAATCAAATTTGCCACCCATTGCAGATTTGCTATCTACTGACTTTGCATTTGATTGCTCGTGAATTAACAATTTCCCAGCTATCAGTACGGAGGGCAAATCATCCGATTTGCTGCCTGCTGCAGAGGTACCGTTTGCTTCGCAATTCGACGAAGGTTTACTGTGAACTAACACGCTACTATTCACTGATGGTTGGCCATAGGTTTTTTTGTCCATTGATTTATCTTCGGATTTACTAAGCAATAGCAATTTACCATCTATTGAAGATAAACCATCTAATTTACCATCCATTGATGATTTACGATTGGATTTACTTTCCAGTGATGATTTACCATCTGTTGATGGATTACCATCTGAGATGCCATCTAATGATGATTTACCATCGATTGATGACTTACCCTTGATTGCAAAGTTGCCCTCAGTTTTAAAACTCCCCATTGACACGCCGCCAGTTTCATTACGCTTTGCCAATTTTACCACCGTTGGAGATGCACCGCGCCAATTACCGTTCGCTAAATATTTGTTCGCCCCTTTACTCCCCGCTGTAGAGTTGTCTCTCGTGGCTACCACTGGTTGTCCCCCGTCCCTGGGAGATTCGCTCTCACTCGACGCATTTCTGTCCCGCACGCCGCCTCCTTCCAAGTTCGCCCTCGCGGTGGCTGGAGTCCGTTGCGAGTGCTTGTAATGTAGCCACGCCTGAACGTCTGGAGACGAGTTCCCCCCCATTGCTGCTTTGCCATTGAACAGCCGTCCATTTGTGGGCGAGTCCTCAAAATATCCTGTGCCACGTGAGCTCCGAGTTGTCTCTGAGCTTCCGTCTGTGTGTGGGCCATTCCTGTGCAGTGAGCCCCTTTCACCGGGCACAGTCGCACCATCTGCCAAACTTATACCCCTGGAATGGACCTTTCTGTCCTGCTCACTGCTCGCCTTAGCGTATCCATCAGATGGATTGCCACCCAAACTGGCACTTGACAACCTAGCACTCTCTGCCACGTGCTCAACTCCCCGTTGGCTGCTGTCTCCAGCACCTGCATTGACCACTCGAGGTTTCTTGTGGTCGCTCAGGGTGCCACCAGTCGGCAACTTCCTGTCCATGGCAAGATCGCCCGAGGTTTTTCCCTTCACGGTCATTCCACGGTCCATCGGAAGACCGGGTCTCGCAGGAGCAACCTTGCCGCCTCTTGGCAAGCCATCGTCCGCCACTTGACTTTTAATGACTTCCTCACGAGCTCTCGCGTCCTCCCAGTGACCCGCGGCTTCCTTCCCGCGACCTGCGGTGACTTCAAAACGGCCTCCTTCGGCTTCCTTGGGCCGCGGGGACGACGACCCCCCGTGACTCCGCGGCGGCACCGCCGCCTCCCCGCCGAGCTCGTCACCCTCCTCCAACACCACGACGCGCGAGACGGCGAGGTGCACGCGCTGGCGGGTGGTGGCGTGGGCCAGGAGCGCGCGGGCCGCGTGCGCCAGCGCCAGCGCGTAGTGCGCCACCTCGTGCGCGTGCGCGTCGCCGCGGTGCGCTCGCGCCACCCCCGCGTCGCACACGAGCAGCGCGTCCAGGCGGCGCGTGCGCACCTCGGCCCAGTCCACGCCCTCCCCGTCGCCGCCGTCGTCCCTTGGGTCGTTCCGGCCGGGCGCCGAGCGTCGCGCGCGACGGCCGGCGGTCGGCTTCCCCGCGGCGACGCCGACGACGCGCGTCACCACGTGCTCGCGTTCGGCGCGGCTGGCGGCCGGCCACGCCGCGTCGCTCCGCCGTCGCCGCGTCCTCCTGCCGGCGAGGCGGTACCGCGGCTTGATGGTGAAATCCTCGTCTCCGACGCGGAACGCGCCCAGCATCCCTCCGCACAGGCTGAGCGAGGCAGAAGAAGACGGCGGCGGCGGTGGCGGCGGTGGCGGAGCAAAGCGGTCCCGTTCACCGGACGAAGCGGAGTCGGTGGATGGCGAGCCGGGCAAGAGGTAGTCGAACCAACGAGAAACGTAATCCCTTGCCAACGAGAGATAATCCTTCCGCGAGGACGCGTCACGCGCTTCAGGCGATGGCGACGAAAAGTAGCTCCCGTTCCCGGGCTGCGTCGCCACCACCACCGCGCCGGAGTAGAAGCACTTTCTCAGCCAGCGCTCCGCGCCTTGGAGCCGCAGCCGGGGCCGATCGCCGGGTCGAGGAGGAGCCGTCTCCACGCGGAAGTTCGGCGCCAGGAAGGCCGTCTCACGGCGCAAACGAAGCGTCATCTCGCGGCCGAACGCGCGCACGTGCAGGCGGGCGCTCGCACCGGAGTCGTGGAAGCGTGGCGCGCGCACGAGGACGGACTCGTGCGCGACGGGGCGGCGATCCGTCTCGTCCGGCCCGTTGCCTCCCTCGCCCAGAAGGCACCGCTCAGCCCAAGGCGCGTCCCACTTAGCCATCAGCAGACAGAGAACCAGGAGGGCGGCTGAGCGCATGGCCCAGATGGCTCAACCGATGCCTACAGGAGCATTATTTGTACTCCGCAGGCCAGCCAGGTCACGCTTCAGGGGAGCCCGACTTGGTTCTGTCGGTGCCTTGCCCGTCGGTTTACCTCCTGCCGATTCGCCGCAGAGAAATGTGCCCGAACGCACGCGAGAGAGGTTCGCCAAACGTTCGGACGCTTCAGAACGGCCGCGGCTAACGCGATCCGCCGAGGATCGCGTGGGGCCACGCGCGGAAATCCCTCCGGAACGCGAGGCCGTCCGTTCTCGGCAAGAAGGTCAGCGGAAAAAAAAGGGGGGTGCTAAACAGCTGGGACGCTGCGCGAGCCAGATGACAGCAGAGCGACGCAGCAGGCAGGCCAAGCGGAAAGTGCAGCTTGGGACGTTCAACGGGTGACACTCTCGCAGCGAAGATAGGGCAACGGTTCTCCAAGAGCTGAAGGAGCTGCAGACCAAAGCATTTTTTTAGACATTGCTCAAAGAGTCACATTTAATTAAGCCAGTCCACAGCTTGAAAACAAAAAAAGCTCAAGTCGTCGTTATTGTATCATAATTATTGGGTCATAAATTTTAAAACTCATTTTGTTACAGCTGCTTTTTGTGTTTAGTTTGTTGCACATTCAATTAGCACGGTTAGCTACGTACGCTGCGAAACAAGTTCAACATAGTACACATTGCATAAAACAGCGTAGGCTTCCCTCAGTTTCTGATTTAAATCCGTGCAATTAAAATGAACGCACAGCTTTATCCTTTAATCACCCCCACCGACTGCTGGCCGAAGGCCTCTGCGCACCGCGTGGGTCATGGGCATTGCTTGGCACCGGGCAGCGCGGGCTGGTGAAGGGCGGGGAGGGGGGGCGTTGATCGGTTGAGATATCACTCGCCACCGATGTTGGCCACGGTGCCGGGTCAAACTCAGGCGACCGGGCTCATAAGCGCTGCGCGGAAACCGCCGCTCCGCACGGCAGCGTTAGGGAAGGGGGAGGGGGCATCAAAAAAGCGACGAGGTGTTTTGTGCAACTGGTCACGTGGCCGTGGTGAAGAAACACTGGGGCCCAATGGAGCAGCGCTTCCTAAAATGAAGGTGTCTGGGACCTCCTTTGCCAGTACCAAAATATGATCATAGGTTTTTTCCCCTTTTTTCTGGCAACAAAACAGCTGTGTTAAGATGTTAAAACACCAAGCCTCGTCTCAAACGGTGTTAGACCAGAGGGCGCCAAAAGGCGGCACCGCACGCCTTTTGGCGTCCTCTGGTCTAACACCGTTTGAGACGTGGCTCAGAGGCTCAAAAGAAAGCTGTCTCTGGTGTGGACCAATCAGTTTCAAGGACAATGCATCATTATCAGAGCGTGTTTTTTTTGTTTGCATTCTGACCACAAGCATTGTGGTTAATGCAGACATTATTCCCTGTTAAAGGTTTCAGTTTGATGTTTTAACATCTTAACACCTGTTTTGTTGCCAGAAAAAAGTGGAAAAACGTATTATCATGAAGATCTCTTCCGAGCCACGGCAATCGCACCCCGATCGGCGCACATACACGGCACAACGTGAACTGCGGGCGCCACAGTGAAGTTTGTTGTGTTGGGGTGGGTGAGGGGTCCCGATAATTTAACAGAGGTCGCACCTTGCTGATGAGAACACTGTGTAAATATTTTTGTTCCTGGGTAGTAAGTGTTATTTCCTAATTGCTTATGCCTCAAAAGTACAGAAAATGGCTATTATTCTCCACAAACTTTGATTTTGTGATCAGGACTGTGATATTTTGAAATTTACCTATTTTCATTTAGAAAACGCGGTGTGCATTTGTGTCACTCCTTCACATAAAGTCCTGGTCACGAAACCAAAGTTTGTGGGGAATAATAATATCCATTTTCTATACTTTTTAGGCATAAGCAATTAAAAAAATAACACTTAGTACGCAGGAACAATACTTGTGTTACATAGTGGAATCAGTGAATTGGAATCAAATCGAGAAGTTGGCTTGTTTCACGTTCAAAACAAATGTGAACGGACTAAAACTCTATATTGATCTGGAGCGTGCATTGATCGGTCCATAGGAGAAGTGTTTAGTTTTCTGCAATTACGCAACCTCTGTACCGTTGTGTGTGTTTGTATTATTATTGTTGTTGTGGAGAGCGGTGGCGTCGTGGTTAGTGCACTGCGCTAGGAACCCAACGCCCCGAGTTTGATTCCCGCTCACGACCAATAACAGTAGCGAATATCTGAACCGATCCCGGGCCTCCCCTAGGTCGACTCAGCCTTAAATGAGCACGTGGTGCGGTGTGTAAAAACATCAGCACTGGGGAGACAAAGGGGGCCACCGTGGTGCTGGTCACCCCACCCTCTCGTGTGCCGTGCGGGCCTTCATAGGCGCTTGCTTACAGCACTTGCCCCTAATAGTCTGTCAAGGGGAGGGGGTATCTTTGTCTTTATTGTTATTGAACACAAACAAGACTCCTTTGCTCCCAAACAAGTCTGGCCACAAAGTTCACTTCCGCGGCGAAAACAGAGCCACGGCTCACGATGTCAACTGCAACATCGCAATCAAGGTCAAATACGAATTCTGCGCTGTGTTGAAATCGCCCCGATAAAACGTCACAGCAGCGTGGATTGATCTGGGCTGACGATGGTGGCGATGGGTGGTGATGATGGCGATAAGATCACCCGGCTTAAAATGTGACTGCTTGCGCGGTCACTCCCAGCACTATCGGAGAAGAGACATCGGCAAAGTATGCGGAGATGCGAGCCGGTGACACAACGCCGTGCGGGCGTGAAGACACGCGCCGCGAGAGCCCCCCCGGAGAGGGTGGGGGGGTGCCCCCGCGCGGTGAGCAAAGCCAAAGCTTTAGGCGCCCACGTAGCTCAAGGGGGGCCCCCTTCCTGAGCCACGTGGCTCAAGGGGGTGACCAAGAGCTACGTGGGGACAACATACGAAAAAAAACATGCCAATCGATGTTGCCCACGTCTAGGTGACTTGCCTACGTGTCATCTCGCTACATCGCTTCTGCCATGTCACGATACATCTACGTTGTACTTACAAGTTCCCGTCAGCCGTGCTCACGCGGAGTTTACGAATTGCACCCAACGGGCCAGCACCACCACTCCAAAATACAAAGATCCCCCGTATAGCCTTAACAGACTGTTGGGGCAAGTGCTGTTAGCGAGCACCCATTAAGGCCGCCACGGTACACGAGGGGGTGGGTGGCCAGCATCACGCCCGGCCGCCTTGGTCTCCCGAGTGGCGACGTTTACACATCGCAGCAGGTACTCATTTGAGGCTGAGTCGACCTAGGCGAGGCCCAGGACCGGTTCAGAAAATCGTCACCGGTTGTTGGTGGCCGTGAGCGGGAATCAAGCTCAGGTGGCCGGGTTGGTAGCGCATCGCCCTAACCGCTACACCACCACTCCCCACACCGACTGCCGAGACACACACATGTGCACACACCAATACCAATACCCGGCCATTCCACACTAAGTGACGGAGACGTCACCACGGCCCCTGTGCCAGGCCAGGTGCGCTTTGAGGGAAACGCGCACGTACCTTCAGGCTGCTTGACCATACTTCCCCGCCCTCGTCGCCCACGTGCTCGCTGCCACCTGTCCGTCAGCGCCGTCTCGACTCGGCTGCTCCCTTGCGGCAGCCCTGCAGGGGAAAGTCACGTGACGCTGGTCGCAATGAAAGAGACGCGCACCACGTGACCCTGGTGGGCACGCGCAGGTCGTCGAACGACTCTGAACGCGCCCACGCGGTCGAGGTCTGGGTAGAAGCTGCGTGCGCATAACCAGCGGCGCGCGCTTTAGGAATAAGCAAACCCGAGCCTAAGAAAAGCGCAGGGCCCCAAGTAGATCAACGGCTGTGGGTGACGGGAGTCCATGAAAAAATACGTTAAATATCAAAATAAATATACATTGGAAAATAACTGAATAGTTCAATGTGGTGTTTCACAAACACCGGCTCAACTTAACCTCCCCCCCCCAACAATAATGAGCGTTGCGAGCTCATTTAACCCAGACAAGACATTATCACCTCTTTTCTACATATCTGTATTATCTTCTCATCACCCCCACTCGCACTGACGCGGCGAAGCTCGGTAAAGTGTTACTGACGTAACCCGACATTTGTCATCCAGCAGTGGCTCGACAAGGCAGGCGGGCGTCTGGCCGGACGTAAACACACACGCACACAGGCACACGTGTGCACACACACAACAACAACAACCGCCATTCGCCACTAAGTGGCGGTGACGTCACCACGACGCTTGTGCCAGGCCATGTGCACCTTGAGGCCACGTGAAGTGTCGAACGCCCGCTGGCAGGTCACGGGGCAGACCCAGCAGGTGCCACGGGTCGACTGACTGAGATGACTGGCTGATGCACAACACCTGTGCCCCCTACTGTGCCAACCTGCTGTGCTTTAGCCACCCGGCGCTCCGCTCGTTGTTGTGAGCGTCGCTCCTCCGCCCTCCGTTGTTGTTGGAGGGCGACTGCCTCCAACTGCCCAGTAGCGTCCTTCACGAGCCTCCTCCACAGAGGCCGATCTTGACACCGCTGGTACCAGTCATTGGCAAGTCCACTCAGCTCCACGTCCTCTTGTACCACATCACTCCATCTCTTCTCTAGCCCGTGCCACGCCCGTTTAGCCCCCTCAATCCGGCCGAACAAAAGCTGTTTCGGCATTCGGTGGCTGGGCATGCGGGCTACATGACCCCGCCAACGCAGCCTTGCCTGCCGGAGGAGCTCACCGATGGGACCTTGCCCAGCCTGGTTAAACCCAGGATCGATCGTAGGCAGGCCAGCCTAAATGTTTCTAACCGGCGAAGATGTTCCATTAGGGGGGTCCACGTTTCGCAAGCGTAGAGAAGGGAGGGAATGACCGTGGCCGAGAAGACCTGAAGCTTAGTGCGGAGCGACAGACCAGGTAGCTTCCACACAGCGTTACGCAACCGATGAAAAGATATTGCCGCTCGACTGATTCGGAGTGAAACCTCTGCTGTTAAACTGTAGCCGGTCATAAGCACACTGCCCAGGTATGGGAAACTCTCCACTCTCTCCACAACTGCCCAATCACCAATTGGGAGTTGTGGGGGTGGAGTGTCCGATGGTACAAAATACCCAGGCAGGTGCTTAGTTTTGGTGGGGCTTGATGGTAAGGCCCCATCTCTTAGTGGCACGCTCCTCTCACACTTACACACGCACACAGGCACACACACAGGCACACACACACACAGGCACACGTGTGCACACGCGGGCACACGTGTGCACACGCGGGCGCCATGCATCACCGTCTACGCGCGGTGCGTTGTACGCGCACCGGCTCATGTATCCATCAATCGTTGAAAAGCAACGAACAAAAAATACAACAGCAGCCCACACAACGGGGCAAGGGGTTTTGTGTGTGTGTGTGAGACTGTGTGCAGTCCCGAGTAGGGGGCCGAATCGCTCCGAGGTGTATTATACGCTTCGGAAAATAAGACGCATCCAGCCAACGTCGTTTCGCGCAGCACCCCGCGACGTTAATTACACAAATCCCACGGTCGCATCGGGATGTTGAGGCTTACCTGTTGTTAATACCTGGAGAGAGGGGAGGGAGAGGGGGAGAGAGTGGACGGGGGCTCAAGTGAGCCGTATAATCCGAAACTGGTGCATGAGCATACTTAACAATAACTCAACACACTCGTCAACAACGCTGTGGCTTTAGAATAATACGTATTTAATCGGTGACGTTTCGGGCAACGACCCTTCTTCATGTGCCCATGTGGAAGAAGCTAGGTGTACCCGTGTGAGAAGTTTGCCTTTAATACCGGACGTCTGATGTCCGTGTGAAGTTGAATAACAATGGTGCACGGCAGCAGCAGCAACAACAACTACAATAACAACAACAATCACATTGTATAGGTCGGTAGTAGGTGGAGTGGGGTGGGTAGGCGACTCACTGTGAGCAGAGAACACAAAGAGTGTGATGAGTGAGTGAGAAGGAGTGAGTGTGAGTAAGTGTGAGAGGGAGTGTGATGAGGGAGTGAGAGGGAGTGAGGGAGTGAGTGTGATGTGTGATGAGTGAGTGAGAAGGAGTGAGTGTAAGTGTGAGAGGGAGTGTGATGAGTGAGTGAGAGGGAGTGAGGGAGTGAGTGTGATGTGTGATGAGTGAGTGAGAAGGAGTGAGTGTGAGTAAGTGTGAGAGGGAGTGTGATGAGTGAGTGAGAGGGAGTGTGAGAGGGAGTGAGAGGGAGTGTGAGTGAGTGTGTGAGTGAGTGAGAGGGAGGGTGAGAGTGAGTGTGAGAGTGTGTGAGAGTGAGTGAGTGTGTAAGGGAGTGTGAGAGTGAGTGAGTGTGTGAGTAAGGGAGCGTGACAGTAAATGTGAGAGTGAGTGTGAGAGTGAGTGAGTGTGTGAGTGTGTATGTGAGAGTGAGTGTGTGAGTGAGTGTGAGTGTGAATGAGTGTGTGAGTGAGTGTGAGAGTGAGTGAGTGTGTGAGAGTGAGTGAGTGAGTGTGAGAGAGAGTGAGTGTGAGAGTGAGTGTGTGAGTGAGTGTGTAAGAGTGAGTGAGAGTGAGTGAGTGTGTGAGTGTGTAAGTGAGTGAGTGAATGAGTGTGAGAGTGAGTGTGAGAGTGAGTGAGTGTGAGAGTGAGTGTGAGAGTGAGTGAGTGTGAGAGTGAGTGAGTGAGAGTGTGAGTGAGGGCGAGAGTGAGTGAGTGTGAGAGTGAGTGAGTGAGTGTGAGAGTGAGTGAGTGTGTGAGTGAGTGTGAGAGTGAGTGAGTGTGAGTGAGTGAGTGTGAGAATGAGTGAGTGAGTGTGAGAGTGAGTGAGTGTGAGAGTGAGTGCGTGAGTGAGTGTGAGAGTGAGTGTGAGAGTGAGTGTGAGAATGAGTGAGTGAGTATGAGAGTGAGTGAGTGAGTGAGAGTGTGAGTGAGTGAGTGTGAGAGTGAGTGAGAGTGTGAGTGAGTGTGAGAGTGAGTGCGAGTGTGAGTGAGTGAGTGTGAGAGTGAGTGTGTGAGTGAGTGTGAGTGAGAGTGTGAGTGAGTGAGAGTGTGCGTGAGTGTGAGTGAGTGTGTGAGTGAGTGTGTGAGTGAGTGTGAGTGCGTGAGTGAGTGTGAGAGTGAGTGTGTGAGTGAGTGAGTGTGAGAGTGAGTGATGTGTGAGAGTGAGTGAGTGTGTGAGTAAGAGAGTGTGAGTGAGTGAGAGTGTGCGTGAGTGTGAGAGTGAGTGAGTGTGTGAGTGAGTGTGTGAGTGAGTGTGAGTGTGTGAGTGAGTGTGAGAGTGAGTGTGTGAGTGAGTGAGTGTGAGAGTGAGTGATGTGTGAGAGTGAGTGAGTGTGTGAGTAAGAGAGTGTGAGAGTGAGTGTGAGTGAGTTTGAGAATGAGTGAGTGTGAGAGTGAGTGAGAGTGTGAGTGAGTGTGTGAGTGAGTGTGAGAGTGAGTGAGTGAGATTGAATGAGTGTGAGAGTGAGTGTGTGAGTGAGTGTGTGAGTGAGTGAGTGTGTGAGTGTGTGAGTGAGTGAGTGTGTGAGTGAGTGAATGTGAGTGAGAGTGTGAGTGAGTGTGAGAGTGAGTGTGTGAGTGAGTGAGTGTGAGTGAGTGAGTGTGAGTGAGTGTGTGAGTGAGTGTGTGAGTGAGTGTGTGTTAGCCGTGAGTGAGTGTGAGTGAGTGAGTGTGTGAGTGAGTGAGTGTGTGAATGAGTGAGTGTGTGAGTGAATGAGAGTGAGTGTGATAGAGAGTGAGTGAGTGTGTGAGTGAGTGAGTGTGTGAGTGTGATAGTGAGTGTGTGGGTGAGTGTGAGTGAGTGTGTGAGTGAGTGTGAGTGAGTGAGTGTGAGTGAGTGTGTGAGTAAGGGAGTGTGAGAGTGAGTGTGAGTGTGATAGAGAGTGAGTGAGTGTGTGAGTGAGTGTGAGAGTGAGTGTGATAGTGAGTGAGTGTAAGAGTGAGTGAGAGTGTGAGTGAGAGTGAGTGATAGTGAGTGTGTGAGTGAATGAGTGAGAGTGAGTGAGAGTGTGAGTGAGTGAGAGTGTGAGTGAGTGTGTGAGTGAGTGAGTGTGTGAGTGAGTGAGAGAGTGAGTGTGAGAGTGAGTGTGTGAGTGAGTGAGTGAGAGTGTGAGTGAATGTGTGAGTGAGAGTGTGATAGTGAGTGAGTGTAAGAGTGAGTGAGTGAGACTGAGTGTGAGAGTGAGTGTGATAGAGAGTGAGTGAGTGTGTGAGTGAGTGTGAGAGTGAGTGTGATGGTGAGTGAGTGTAAGAGTGAGTGAGAGTGTGAGTGAGTGAGAGTGAGTGTGTGAGTGAATGAGTGTGAGAGTGAGTGAGTGTGTGAGTGAGTGAGAGTGAGCGTGAGTGAGAGTGTGAGTGAGTGTAAGAGTGAGTGAGTGAGTGTGTGAGTGAGTGAGTGTGTGAGTGAGTGTGAGAGTGAGTGTGAGAGTGAGTGTGTGAGTGAGTGAGCGAGAGTGTGAGTGAATGTGTGAGTGTGAGTGTGATAGTGAGTGAGTGTAAGAGTGAGTGAGTGAGAGTGTGAGTGAGTGTGAGTGAGTATGAGAGTGAGTGAGTGTGTGAGTGAGTGTGAGGGAGTGAGAGTGAGTGTGTGAGTGAATGAGTGTGAGTGAGTGAGTGTGTGAGTGAGTGTGTGAGTGTGTGAGTGAGTGTGTGAGTGAGTGTAAGAGTGAGTGTGTGAGTGAGTGTGAGTGAGTGAGTGTGATAGTGAGTGCATGAGTGTGAGAGACTCTTACATGCGCCCGTGAGACCGACAGGAGAGTCGCATCGTCTTCTCGTCTCCAGTGGCTCCCTCCGCTCTCTATCACTCCGCTCTCTCTCTCCACAATCACTTCGCTCTCTATCACTCCGCTCTCTCTCTCTCCTCTATCACTCCGCTCTCCTCTCCGCCTTTGGCTCCGCTCTCTGCTCACTGATGGAGGTTGCGAGTGGAGCGCTGCGCGTTTATAAGCGGCGGGGGGGCGGGGGCGGGGCGGTGTTGCGGTGTGTTATTGTGAGTGTGCGAGTCCGTCTGTGCGCGCGTCAGCTGTGCACGTGAGTTGTGTGTGAGTTGTATCGGAGCGGTGGCGCAGTGGTTAGCGCACTGCGCGAGTTGGATTCCCGCTCATGGTCATAACCAGCGAGGATTATCTGAACCAGGTGCCGGACCTCCCCAAGGTCGCCTCAAATGAGGACCGGTCGCAATGCGTGAACATCGCCCCTGCGGAGACAAAGGTGACCGGGCACGGTGATGTCCACCCACCCGCCTTGTGTATCGTGCCGGCCTTAATAGGTGCTCGCTAACAACGGTCTCTGTGAGACTGTGTGAGTGTGTGTGATTGACAGCTTGTGTGTCTTGATGAACGCGTGTTCATGTGCGTGCGTACGCGCGTTGTGTTTGTGAACGTGAGTTGCGTGTGTGTCTTCATGCACATGTGTGTATGTTTGGCGCGCGCGCACGTGCGTGCGTGTGTGATTGTCCATGTGTGCGTGTTTATGAATGGGGAGCGGTAGTGTAGCGGTTAGCGCGCTGCGCTATGAACCTGGCGACCCGGATTCGATTCCCGCTCACGGCCAACATCAGTGACGATTATCTGAACCGGTCCCGGGCCTCCCCTAGGTCGACTCAGCCTCAAATGAGTACCTGGTGCGGTGTGTAAACATCGCCACTGGGGAGACAAAGGCGGTCGGGCGTGGTGCTGGCCACCCACCCCCTCGTGGACCGTTCCGGCCTTCATAGGTGCTCGCTAACAGCACTTGCCCCTACAGTCTGTTAAGGCTACATGGGGGATCTTTGTCTTTGTTTATGAATGTGATTGCGTGTGTGTGTGTGGATGCGGTGTGTATTGATGGGGAGGGGTGACGTAGTGGTTAGCGCACTTGCGCTATGAACCGGGCGATCCAAGTTCGTGTCCCGCTCACCGTCTAAAAAAAAACCATCAGCAACAAATAATCCCAACGAATTCTGGGTCTCCCCTTAGGTCGACTCAACCTTAAATGAGCACCCGATGCTGTCTGTGTCTGTGTGTAGACATTGACTCTGGGGAGGCAATGGCTCTCGGCCACAGCAGCCTCTCGTTCGCCGTGCCGGCCCTAATAGGTGCTCGCTAACAGCACTGGTCACGCCGGCCTGCATGGGCGAGACGGGGAGGCGGGTGAAGGGTGGGGAGGGCTCTTTGTCTTCGTATGGAATGTTTGTGATTCCGTGGGTGTTTGTGTGAATGCTTGTGTCGCGAGTGCAGCGTATTGCCATGCAGCGCAGCAAGGGGACGTGGACAGAGTGGGGCTGGAGTGAGTGGGGGGGGGCAACTCCCCCGCCCCCCGATCCCCATCCGCCCCCCCCCCCCCACACACACACAACTCTTGTATTTTGTTCAGCGTAGGGGTCAGCAATATGGTGGCACCCCCTCAATTAATATCCACTCGGAGTGGGCTCCATGGCTACTCGCTCCACGAGTCGGGACGCGAGTGTAAGCCGCTACTCCCATGGGGCCCCCCACTTACAAACAGCCCCCCGCCCCCACAAGAAAATATGCCCCTCTCTTTCTCGCTCTCTACGTCTCTCTGAGACTTGTCCGTCAGTTCAGTTCCGTGCGTCTCTTGTCTGTCTGCGCGTCTCTCTTCGCTCGCTCGCGTCTCTCGGTGTCTCAAGGTGTCTCTCGGTGTGCCGCGTCTCTCGGTGTCTCTCGGTGTGTCTCGGTGTCTCTCGGTGTCTCTCGGTGTGCCGCGTCTCTCGGTGTCTCTCGGTGTGCCGCGTCTCTCGGTGTCTCTCGGTGTGTCTCGGTGTGTCTCGGTGTCTCTCGGTGTCTCTCGGTGTGTCGCGTCTCTCGGTGTCTCTCGGTGTGTCCCGTCTCTCGAAGTCTCTCGGTGTCTCTTGGTGTGTCGCGTCTCTTGATGTCTCTCGGTGTGCCGCGTCTCTCTCTCTCTCTCTTGGACAAGAAGGCTCGCCTCGACGGAGGAGGCTGAACTGAACCAGTAACTTTATTTGGACGCGGAGAGAACTCGTCGCTAATTTAATGAATCCACCTCAACAACACGTGGGTACACATTCACACAAAAAATACCCCCCCTTGGAGTCTCACAGACCGGGACGCCCACAAATGGCACGTGCTTTCCCTGTAGTAGAAGTAATAATATATTTTTTAAAACCCACCCACCCCGTACCTGTGCAGCTGTGTGAGTCTTTGTTTCATTGACCGTAGATTCCAATCCACCCACGACCCCGCACTTTGATCGCACACCCACGGGTCTAATACCCAAGTGTCCTTTAGAATACAGCCGTAAAGTTGTAATTTCCAAGCCCATGGTGCCCTTACAACTCTACGCCTGTACTCTTAACCGTCTCAACCAGTCCCATTGAAAAGGGGGCACGACCCCCCCCCCCACCTCCATCATTTAAAATACGACGCACGTGTGTATGTTGAACCGCTTTCGTACCGTACGTAGCCAACCGCGCTAATCGGAGGTGGGTAAAGCGAGTCGTCTAACGCGGTCAGATGCGTTCCTGGGGAGTGCCGCGTTTGGCGAAAAACGAGTTAAGCGAAAACAATTTCCCCCGTACATAATGTGACGATAAAGTTTGTCGAGATGCGATTTTCACTACACACACCGCGCGCGCACGCGCGTGGTGAGATGGCCGGACAAACAAACAACAGAGGGCACGCAACCGCGTTCATTCCGCGTAACATATTATTATTGTTATTATTAGAATCGGATTTTACTATATTTTTATTGGATGTTATCTTTAACCGTGAGCGTGGTGTCTTTAACGTACTGCTCGTTGAAATATTTCGTTATGAAAGGCACTTCGCGAAATAAGGATCCTCATTAACGGTATCGACCCGTCACGGAGCGTTGGGCGAGCGGTGACGTCACAGCTCCGTCCGTGCTCTGTGACGTCACATCTTAATCCGGGATCTGTGACGTCGCCAAGTGTTACGTTTCGCATCAACAGTTTATGCAAATTATATGTCGAGGTTACATTCAGGCCTACTGATCGAACATAGCTGGGCCAACTATGTAGAACCCGTGAGAATGCTAAATGATATGGCAAATAAAATAATCGATTGTTCAAATGAAACGGCGTTCCAGAGTGGTGACAATTTCGTGGACTCGCTGGGTCGTCGTGGCGGCGGTGATCGGCTGCACGGGCGAGCAAAGGACATCTCTCAAAAAGAGCTTCATAGCTCATCGGATTCCTCCAGTATAAATACAGATTCCAGAACGATTTTGGAATGCCCGTTGCTGCAGTGAGGAAGCCACACGCGGGTGTTTATAATCGGAGGCAGCCACGCGTGTAATCCGCGTTCCGCAAATCAGACGCGAAGCCAGGGCTCACGTTCTCCGAGGAGCGAACGCCGTGACGATAGCGGCATTAGAGAGACAAGGAGATGACAGACACACGATGATGCGTACACGACCTTAAATTTTGTGGGGTTTTTTTGTCAGCCGGGTGAGAATCCGTTGGAACTTCTAAGTGTATTTGCGTTACACGTACGCATGTTGAACTTCTTTCGCACCGTACGTAGCCCATCGTGCTAATCGGAGGCATGGACAGTAACAATATTTACGCGATATAACCTCCGCCCCCCCCCCCTCCCCCCCTGGTTAGCACGGTCGCCTACTTACGATGCCAAATAAGTTAAACATACGTACAACGTATGTGCATTGTGCACGCAAGTCCCCCACCACCCCCCCCCCCCCCCCCCCCGCTTAATATAGAGACCGTTGCAACGTCGTTAACGAGCTCCTCGACTGGGTACGAGAAAACATGAAGAGCGCTGAAGAGATTCCCGTTCTCCGGGAAGGAATGTCGCTGTGTAGTTTCTCCCGGATCGTGGAGACGTCTTGCTTAGACTCGCGCACGTGCACCGACACTTGCACAAACACACATGGGGGGGGGGGGGGGGGGGGTGCATGTACGTACAAAACAAACCCAGTACAAAGGACCCCCTCTTTCCCTGAAGAGACGTTAGGGGGTCGGGGGGGGGGTGGAGGAGCTGTGACTGCACACCGAACCTCCTCGCGTGTTTTACTCGAACTGAACTTTCTATTTGACCAGGTAAGGCCCACTGAGCTACCTGGCCATCACAAATGAGAGCTTCAACGAAGTGGCTTATTATTTGCGTGGGCATTTTTAGCGGCCAAATAATCTAGACGCGTGGCGATGTTGATTCTAAATGTGGATGACCCGGAGAAAAATCCACGCGACCACGGGGAGAGAGAGACACGCAAACTCCTAATAAACAGCAGCAGGCGTCAGGGTCGGGATCGAACCCACGACCTCCTGTATACCAGGCGAGGTAGTTAACATCTCCTAGCCACCGTGATGATGATGATGAGAGAGAGAGAGAGACAGACACGCAAACTCCAAATATACAGCAGCAGGCGTCAGGGTCGGGATCGAACCCACGACCTCCTGTGTACCAGGCGAAGTAGTGAGTCACGTGCGGGCAACCGAAGCAACGCGCTCCAACACTTTTTTGCGTTTTGGTTTAATTTCTACAACGTTTAAGTTGTGCGGGAGTGTAAGAAAATAAACGTGGCATGGCGCGTCTGCTCATTTCATCGCCGCACGAGTGTTGGTGAACGTACAACGTTTACATTTGTCTGGATTTTGAACGTTTGTTCAACTGCGACGTTGTGCTGTGATGCAGACTGTCACGGGGTGTTGCCCTTCGTCGTTTGCCTGTCCAGCAAAAGCTTCATTGAGTGTGGACACTTGAATTCTGGAGGGTCCTGCATCGTGATGTTTCCACGTTCCTTTTTTAACGAGTGTGGTTTTTGAGCGCGTGGGAGAAAGGAGGAAGCCAAAACCAAAGATCCCCCGTATAGCCTTAAAAAAACTGTAGGGGCAAGTGCTGTCGAGTGAGTAGCACCTATGAAGGCCGGCACAGCACACGAGGGGGTGGGTGGCCAGCACCACGCCCGGCCGCCTTTGTCTTCCTATTGGCAATATTTACGCATCGCACCAGGTACTTATTTGAGGCTGCGTCGACCTAAGGGAAGCCCAGGACCGGTTCAGATAATTGTCACCTGTGTTGGCCGTGAGCGGGAATCGAACTCGGGACGTCTGACTCGTCGTGCGGCGTAGCGC